CACGTTAGCACTCCATACCTTAATTCACATGTAAACCTCTCTGCTAATCTCTGACTTCAGCTCTCTCATCTTCGAGTCTCCCCAAGAAAGTTTTGACACCACACCAACATTTCATTCGTCAAAATTAAATCGAGTTTGCACAAGGTTACAACCGATTAATAGGTGATCTTCTACCTTCTATTTACGATTTTATGCTATGAATATATGTTTTTGTCAGGGTTCAAGTCAATCTCCGGATTAGAGACTTATAATCATCCGACGAACAATACGATGGCGTGATAACCGTTTCTAAATTGGTGGGTTCTCTTTCATTGATCTACATATTATTTTTTTGTTCGTTTTTTTTTCAAATATTTAGATTGAAACGATGACGAACACGACGATCATACCAAAAATTTCATCTATTCCGGTACGTTTGATCTTTATTTTAATTAGTTTAACAATTAATAGCCGTTTACGATTAATTTCGGATATCTAAATCTTATTAATTTGAGTAAGGTTAGAATAGTATTCTTTTATGTTTATATTAATGCTCCGATTAATAATTTTCGGATATTTGACATTATCATCTTAAATATATCAATATTATAATAAATATTTTCCTTTTCCGATTTTTTTTTTTTGGTATAATTCCTTTTCCGATAAATTATGAAACAGATCTGTTTACACAAAAGGTAAAAAAGAAAAAAAAGAAAAAAAAAGAAAAAAAGAAAAAAAAAAAAAAACCCATCAACCGTCTCCATTCACACGTTTCTTCATTATGATCACGAATTCACGTTCATGGAAGCTTCATCATACATTAACACTTACAAGTTTCTTCGTCGAGTTTTTATCCAAGGTTTCTTCGTCAACTCTGTATCCAAGGTAATAAATATTTGTTCTTTTCATTGGTTAGAATTATAGGGTGCAGGATAGTATTGACGTCTTAAAGATATAACATGGGCAAGATACTATGAGAAGCTTGACTATTCTGCTTCGACAGATTAACAGGTGAAATTCTATCACTAAATTATTAGATCTCTGTTATTGCTATGAATATATGCTTTATGTTAGGATTTCAAGTTTTGCCTTCGTTTAGAAGAATTATATTCATACGACGAAGAACACGATGAATTCAATTAAAGCTTCCTAACTGGTACTTCGTTGTTCCTTTTTTTTTTTTGGTTAATTATCATGTTTATTGTTTCCAAAATTATTTTTTTCTGGTTAATTCCGAAATTCAATTTAATTTTTCCAAAATTAATTAGATTTCATTAAGGGTAATTAAGTAATTACGTAAAATCAAGGACTCAACAAGAGCCGAGAGTCCGACACGTCAGCAAAAACACTTCTCAAATATTGTTATATATAGATTGTTTTTTATTATTTCTATTGATTTGTTGAGACTTGAGACTATTGAGACTATTGGTTATTGATTGATCATTAAATTAAATCTAGAGGTAGAGCTACGTCCAAAAAAATATGAGTCATGTGACACAACATACGTTTGGTAAAGGAGAGAAAAACATAGTTATTAAAAAAAAGGAATATCATTGATTTCTTCTTTTTTTTTTTTTTATACTAAATTCTCTCAAATCCTTTGAATAAATATCACTAAATCACTAATGATTTTTCTTTTTAAGAAAATAGAAATCAAACAAATCAACCCAATCATCCTAAAATTTTACTCAAATCTCTCCAAAATTTAAAATATAGAAATTCCACCAAACCCCTCCAAATATTTAATTCAATACACGCTTTTAGTTAAACTGAGAGATTAAGATAGATGATGGGGGTCTGAGTCTGACGGGTGTTTAGTATAGAAACGGATGATATTTGAAACAGTTTACACACATGGCAACAATTAATTTATACTATTTGAAAACAATGGAGAAAGATGAGTCGGTGTAACTTAGTAGGCTAGTTTAAGTAACATTTAACATTAATTGGTACGTAATGTATGCAAAATGAGCATTCCTAAGTGTTGTTATTAAGAACTCACGTGGTGGGGACTAAGGTCAATATGTCATATTAATTCTCTCAAAGTAGGTTGTTGAATTCTTATTATACCTTATCTCAAAATAGCAGTAGTATATCATAAAAACTAAAAAGTCTTAATGAATAAAAATAAATTTTCATTAAAAGAAACCATCACGTATTTTCGTCAAAAAGATACAGAATACTCTATATTTGTTTTCTACAATAATAATTACTTAAAACTTTATTACAAGACGATAGAAGACACTTTTTCAAATTTTCATCGTTTTGGCCGGCGTCGGTCACCGTCGTTTTCTATTATTTCCTTTCTCTAATTCTTGCAAGTTTCTAATTTTATTAGTATATCATGGCAAATCGAAGGTCTCTAATGTATAGGCTTTGCCACATTAAGATGGTAGTGATCAAGGTTTTCCATCCAACGTCCCCAAATCAGATTTTGATCGCGCTTTTGCTTCAATTTTTGATTTGGTTGACCTATCAGTTCAAACTGTCTCCACTGATGTTTTTGAAAGATTCATTCCAACGATGTCTCTCGTCCCGTATTATGTCGATTCGCTTGAATCGTAGTGTATTTCTTTATATAAAGTTTGTTTCCGGTGGTCTCTCGACGCCTGGCGTCATCTCCGGTTTTTAACCGATGAATTTTCTCTTCACTTATGTTTTGGAGAAGTCATTTGGATATTTGATCCGGGAATCAACAAACAAATATTCTCGATTGAAGGAATCGGCGCCTGCGGTAAATTCATCTTTGTAAGGACACGATCCGGTGATTGTGATGTTGTCGCGCTCTCTCGATCGAATTATTCAGGTTCTATGGAAAAGGAAATTATGGTCATTAACCAGCAACGATGGGCAGGACGTTACAAAAGATGTGATCGAAAACCATTTCAGCCAATATTTCAGAGTGTTTGTTTAATAATAGTGATGCGAAAAATATTTGGGAGTTTCATCCATAAGATGTTAGCCTTTTACGAGTATATGAAGAGGGGACTTAATAGATGTCATATATTGCCTGTAAGGCTTCCTTTTGGAAAGCAGGATTACTTCCGCTTCTTCATCAAAATTGTGTTCAATTTCCTTTATTTGGTTTAATAATTGTATTGTTGTGGTTTTATGTATCATGTACCATGTAACACATTTGTGATATAATACTATTGTTTTGCCGTTAAAAAAAAAAAATACTGAATACTCCAAACCATGCAAACCATTGGGCCATATTGGCATTAAAAATTCAGACGAGGCCCATATAAATGGAGCCCAGTTTTAATTCGTAACCCACATTAAAAGACTTAATTGCTCCGTGGAATTTAGCAATGATTTTTCTTACAAGTACCAACAACTTTCTCTCCAACTGGTGTAGCCGGGGTATAAACTTCACGGATATTCCTAAAAAAATAAAAATAGAAATTAAAAACTCCTATACACGTGCCAAAATTCCTCAAATCGTCTTCTTTTTCTTTTAAATAAACGGATAAACATTGACCAAAACAAAAAATAAAAAGTCCCCACCATGAGCGAAACGACACAACAAGTCTACTCAGCACTTACCTTAAAATGAACCAATCCTTATCGTTTCACATTCACGAATAAACCAGCGTCGGCCCACCGCATCCCAAACCATAACCCAAAATCTTAAAAACCGTCCAGATCCATCTCCTTCCCCAACACTCTCATCATCACACACACCTGTTAATGGCTTCTTGTCTGAATCTCTTCTTCTTGTCCTTCCTCTCCGCTCTATCCATTTCCAAATCTCAGATCTCTGATTCCCTCAACGGAGTCGTTTTCTCTGTTGTTAAAGACCTACCAACAGGTCAATACATCGCTCAGATTCATCTCGGTGACTCACCGGAGCCAGTTAAGCTCGTCGTCGATCTCGCCGGCTCAATTCCATGGTTTGATTGTTCCTCAAGACATGTATCCTCCTCTCGGAACCTAATCTCCGGTAGCTCTAGCGGCTGCCTAAAGGCTAAAGTTGGGAATGACCGAGTATCATCATCATCGCGTGGAGACCATCAAAACGCCGATTGCGAATTGCTTGTGAGAAACGGCGCCGTTGGGATTACGGCGAGAGGGGAGCTTTTCAGTGACGTCATGTCGTTTGGATCTCCGGGAACCGTTGATCTACTTTTCGCTTGTACTCCACCGTGGCTGTTACGTGGGCTCGCTAGTGGAGCCCAAGGAGTAATGGGCTTAGCAAGGGCCCAAATCTCTCTCCCTTCACAACTCGCCGCGGAAACTAACGAACGCCGTCGTTTAACTGTTTTCCTGTCGCCGTTAAACGGCGTTGTGTCGACGAGTTCGGTTGAGGAGGTTTTTGGAGTGGCTGTGTCTAGATCGCTGGTTTATACGCCTCTGTTAACCGATTCGAGTGGTAATTACGTAATAAACGTGAAATCGATTAGAGTCAACGGGAAAAAACTCTCCGTGGAAGGTCCTTTGGCGGTGGAGCTGAGCACGGTGGTTCCTTACACGATGCTAGAGAGCTCGATCTACGCGGTATTTGCGGAAGCTTACGCTAAAGCTGCGAGTGAAGCTACATCGGTGGCCCCCGTAGCACCGTTCGGGCTCTGTTTCACGAGTGACGTAGACTTTCCGGCGGTGGATCTGGCGTTGCAGAGTGAGATGGTGAGGTGGAGGATCCAGGGGAAGAATCTAATGGTGGATGTTGGTGGTGGAGTCCGATGCTTGGGAATTGTTGACGGCGGGTCGAGTCGGGTCAACCCGATTGTAATGGGTGGGCTACAATTAGAAGGCTTGATATTGGATTTTGATTTGGGTAACTCAATGATGGGCTTTGGGCAAAGAACACGCTCTTCGTTGTAATACAAACCTTTGTAATTGTAACCATCTAATTAACTGGTAGATATCCTCAATTTTGATCTCTTTTGTTTGTATGTTTTTTTACAATACTTGCTAGTTGCTACAAGCAATCACGCATTTGTACTACTAATAGATCTAATTTTTAAGAAATAGCTATTACTTTTGGATGAAGTAAAACTATAGTGTTTTAAAACTAAAAATCAATACAAAAACTTCACTCATTCATACGACTTTTTGAGTTTTCTAACGATACATCAGACCTCTAATTGCTAATTACCATGCGACAACTAGAAAACATGACAAATTTCAAGAGTGTTGGACTGTGGACTACTTTCGCCGAAGTAAAGGAAATAAAAAGTAACTTTGTATGGAGATTGGTTCGTAAAATAAGAACTAAGAAGGATGAAACAAGATGCAGAGGCAAAGGAGCCAGCAAGGAAGATGAACCATACCTATGTATAGATATGTTGCACTCTTCCACGCCCAAAGCGACTCTAACCATGTCCAAAACTCTCCTCCAAGACTCAAACCTACGATCCCTTCTCCAAGCAACCCTTTTGAGATTGCGAAAAACATGACCGGGAACCCGATGGTCACCAACACCAAGCTGCAAAGCGCACCCAACAGGCTCTTAATGCTTCTGGATCTCAGAGCTGGTTTTATAGGCTGAGCCATTAGACACGTTGGCACTAGTAGCAATGCTCCAATCTCTGCGGTGGCGAAATTGATTATGGACATGAGGCATAGACCGATGAAGGCAGCTGCGATGGTCACTGATTTCAAGACAGCCCAGTTGTTTCGATGGAGTCGAGAGGAGAACGGAGAGCAACCCGGGATTGTGACAAAGGTTATAAGGAGAAGCGACGAAGAGGTAGTACCCCACATAATGGAGCGGTTTCTTGGAGAATGCTGGCCCGGTAGTTGACAGATAAAATAAGGAAGCAGTGTGACGATGAAACCCAACAAGTGCAAAGCAAAAACCTGTTTGGCTGCATCTAGCCATTTCCAAGACTTGAAGTTTTCGGCAGGGTTATGAGTGGAATTGGTAAGAGCTTTACATCCGTCAATGTATAAAGAGGCTGCGACCATTGGAAGAGGGGCTACAAGAAGAGCAAAGGCAATCATGTAGACTCCTACAGAGATAAATTTGCTTGGCGAAGTTAACAGGTAAAGGAAAAACGATTGATGGAACTTCTCGAGGAGGTTGTTCACTGATCTTATAGTTCCTTCCAGTAACCTGCGTTTAAAGAGAAGGCGGAGTTATCATAGAACACTCATACAGAGTCTATGAGTAGCAAACATTACAATTCCTGAAGTCTAGTGTAGCATAAATGATGTATTGTAGTTCTTAATCATTAAAAAATTCACATACACTAGCAGAGGTAGGTATACGGTACAAAATGGGAAAGAAGGAAAATATAAAAACAAAACTCACCGGGCACCTCGTAGAAAGAAATCATGTTGTCTTGTCTTACTGTGAGGAGGAAATCTAGGTGAAACTTTCAAAGTAATTGCATCAACTTGATAATCGCGGAAAGCTCCATGAGGACCAGTTGGGATACCAAGGGCCTGATAAGAATGAATAACAAAAGAAAGAAACATTTTCTGTCAGCTTCCAAGGTCTTTCCTTATAAAAATGTAACAGTGTGACTGCAATCACAAGAACTTAATTGAGGACAAATCAATTATACATTTTACCTGGGAGTACAGTGAACTTGCAAGGGTAGCACTGCCTTCAAGATAGTCTGCGGCTGGGATACCAAAATTCCAGTCCGGATTTAACGTATGCGCCAATTTCCCAACAGCTTCAAATATTTCCCCAAAAATCTTTAGCCAACTAGAGGAAAGTAAAGATACAACCTTCTCCAGCTTGACATAAAAACCCTGCCTGTGCACAGCTAAGTAATTTACAACATTGATGAGGTCGAGATTTGGCATCTGCCCATTAGAAGCCTCTGCGTAGATACTTAGTGTGTCCTCAAACCTTTCACTTCTACCATCAACCTTCAAAACCAAAGCAGCAGCCATTGTTCCAGCTCGTCTGAAGGTATCAGCTGTATTTAGCTCGTCACACTTAAGAAGATCCGAGACCTTAAATGAAGGTGAGTGGTATTCAGTTAACCACGCGGCAACAGGCCTATAGTCTCCATAACGAGAATCAGCGACAAGCCATATTATGTCTTTGGAAAGCCAGGTAACTCTAGAGAGCAAGGAAAAAAGCGAACTGACAATTCCTAAAGACAAACTCTCATAGTCTCCACCATTTATAAAATCATAGGGAGTAACCAGCACAATAGACTCTTTTCCATCACCACGAGGGGCTCTTATAATCCCAGCAACATTGACCCCATAAGAAGCACAACTGACATTCTCCAGCAATGTATATGAATCAGGGCCGGAGAAAAAGTGCAGAGGGTGAAATTGATTCCCTTCAGGATGGAACTTTTGATAAGAAACTTCTGCACCCATTTCTGACATGTATTTTCCAATAAGCTTCTGGACTTCACTAGAAAAAAAATCACACAAATGGAGAACTATTAAGTTACTTGGGCAAGGACCGAAACAAAAGTACAAGTTACTTTTTCAATAGCTTTTCCTCATAACGTAGGAGAAAGCCCTATTTCATGCGAAAACTGAGGGAGATGGAGAAAAGACATACACACCCTGGCCTTCATGATTCAACCTAAAATTCTTTATGTCCTTCACCAGTTTGCTTCCATCAGAAACATCCTGATTAGAGAGCATAGACCGTGCAGAGCCTGAAGAACAAAGTCAAAATAGAAAGTGTAAACCACCAAACAACAACGCATTCAAAGTAGGCAAGCCATAAACTCACATAACTCCCTCCTACAGATTCGAATCCTATAGAACTCTAGTTTGGTTAACACCCTCAATGTCAAGTACGCTACACTATTCGATCCCAAGTTTTAAGAAATCAACAATCACGAGATAACTACAACCTAGAAATAGTAAACTTTTTTTTTTTTTTGGGAAATTGACAATGAGACTTGAATCTAAATGTGGCCAAAAACCTGGCATTAGAGCATTTTCGGAGATGTAAGTGTTCTTTGCCAGTAGCGGCAAAAGCAGCAGCGCCAAAACCCCAGCAGCAGAGAAAACCACACTAGAAACACAATCAGATCATCAATGAACCAGTAGAGAAAGAATCACAACATAGAAACTAATGGAGTAGAAGAAAAGATGATGGTTGAAGATATACCTGAAGATGGGACTGTGAGCGATGAGAAAGATTCCTAGCCGAACGATTGGTCTCGGTTTGATTTTAGGAGATCCATCATCGGTCTTCACCTCCTCTTCATTATCACGTTTCACCGCCGCCATGATTAACAGATCTCCGATCAATTTCGGGAGATTCGAACCCACGACGAACTGTGATCTCCGTGGCTTGGGAATTGTAGACGACGGTCAAGTTGGGTCAGCCCGATTAGGATGGGTGGGTTTAAAGTTTAGAAGGCTTTGTATTGGACTTTTTCAGTGATGGGCTTTAAGATGATACAGAATTCTTTACATGCCAAATATAATTGTTATTATTTTATAGTATTTTTTAACAGTAATATATCTATATTTGTTATTAATTATTATTAACACATTCATATTAATTGTTATTCTAAGATACTATCAGTGTTCTCAATTTGTATCTTATTTTAAATGAACAAACTCTTTTACAATTTTGTTATTATCCATTGCTATAGTTTTTTTTAAAAAATTATTATAAATGACCAATATATGGTATTTTTGCTATTACATCATAGCAAGATGGGAACGGGAAGTAGTGGGCTACACAGTACAGTCCATATTATCGCATCAAAGAAAAGCAAAAAATAGAAACTGCCAAAAGAAATGATGAAAAGTCATGATATGATCCTAAAAGAAAAAGAAGAATATCAAGAGAAAAAAACAATCAGAGATAAATACAGCTGCGTAGGAAGTGTTTGTGGGGATGCATTATAGATGATTGAAGCTAACGTGATTGAGATAGGGTGACAATGTTTGCGGATATATCAACAATGGTCCAATAAGAATTGCATGTTCATTTGATTCAAAATTCTAACTAATGTTAACAACTAAAAATTAGTGAAATATTGAGATATTAATTTAACATTCATTCAAAAATATATATATTGAGATATTCTTATATATTGAGTTTGTGACAAAAAAAATGATATTTATACCACAAGGCACAAACCTGTACTATATATTGGAAAGTTAAACTAAAATGATATTTTTGAGAATATATTCATATTTATAATTTTAAAAGAAATTGTTAAAACGTGTATATGTTGTATATCTCTATACTGAAAACACAAGTGATACGAGTAAAATTGAACATAATTTCCCTCCAAAACTCGAAATCAATAGATATAAGACTTGTGCTCAAAGAAGTTTTTATCTTATATCTTTATTCCAAAGAAAAATAAGAAATTTGTTTTCTAACTACTGTATTTCTAATGTGTGAGCGTTTGATTAAATGTGAATTTGATCCTCCTTATACTAGCGTATGTATGTGCATTTACGGTTAAGTATTCAATATTTAAAGTTAGAGACTCAGACTTTGATATGAACAACATTTTCAAATACAACAAACATTTTCCAGAGGATTCATACGTAGAGAAATAGATGATATAGTAATTACCACATATAATTTAAAACCAATTATTATGTTGGATGATGGTATGTGGCAAAAACAAATCTTGTATATGTCATGTTGAAATGAGATAATATTCTAGTTTGGAAATAAATAATATTTGCAAAGATAATAAAGCAAAACAATATCAAAGTCGTTTTCAGCTTTTGTAGTTCCCACTCCCAGGCCCATGGTTGGCTTTGCTCGGTCTTTCTTTCTGTTTTCTACAATTGTTTTTTGAGTAAATAAGAAAATAATACAAACTAGTGGCTGTATTTTACAATAACATAGAATGATAATGACTTTATAATATCAATAAAAATATGCCATTCAAATGATAATGACTTTTATAATATCAATAAAAATATGCCATTCATGTTTTGCATTCAATTTATATTATATTATTTATCAGTATTGCGTTTTGATTTTTGTGAATATGATTTTAATATAGTTTAAATCTTATCGAAAAGTCAAAAACATAGTACTATATATTCACAAAAAATAATCAAAAACTATATTAAAATAAAAATATATTCACAAAAAATAATCAAAAACTATATTATCTGATTTTAGTTTTTGATTATCATGTTTCTATTATTATCATGATAATCAAAAACTAAAATCATCCATAGACGTGGATATTCAATAGCTAAAACATTATTATTATTTTTTGTTAAAAGCTAAAACATTAATTGTCCACCTCAAATATTGCAGCTCAAATATTAGGCGTATTGGTATGATGTCATAACATCAAGAGTGTCCTTAACAAAATTTATTGGAGGCTTTTTAATTAGTCTAGTTCCACTTGATATGGTTTTGGTAAAGTTTTTTTTTAAAAAAAAAAAACTGCTGCAGTTAAGTTATGGTCTTTTGGTATCTCGTGTTAATATACAGTTAAATCTCCATTAAGCACTGCACAAAAAAGAAATTTTTTGTTCTGTTTGTTCGGCCGATAAACCGGATCTTATGGGTCGGATAAAAATAAATCAGTTTTTTTTTTTTGTTTAACAAAGTTTTAGAAACCATTTTCTTGGAAGTTTATTCATTATCAGATCAGATTGTTCTGAATAAGAAATCCAATTAACTCAACAACCTCAAACTACACATTTTAACATTTTCTGATACTTGCCACGAAATAGTATTAGTCTCTCATCTTATACATTTTCTAGGTTGTTGTCACCAAACCATATATGTATTTGATGGTTTTCCCTTTGTGTGTGTGTGATATTTTCTTAACAAATGGTAGAAAATCTTAAGCAACTCAACCATCTTTGTGTTCAAATAAAGGCTTAATAGTTTATTTAGGTCATATAATTTGGGAAAAAAGTATCAACATTCAACAAACTAAAGTTGGCTGTTTATGCATGGTACTAAGATGTGCGCAAATATTCTTATGCATGTTGATATGAAATTATATACTAAGAGGAAATGTGCAAAGACAAATTTTAAGGCCGTGGGCCAAACCCCGAAACCAAAAAAAAAAAACAAGGGGCGTTCACTGTTCTTCTAATATCCTTTCTTGACGTTTTATTTTAAAAATTATTATTATTTAGTTTCAAAAGAAAAATCAAAAACTGAATCCTCAGCCGCTGCATAATCTCCATGTGAAAGTTTTCTTAAAATTGTTATTGCAATTTACAAAAGCTTCAAACTATTGACAAAATTATGTAGGACATGGTTTTGAATCTTTATGGAATTTCTAACAGGAGTAGTTTCAAAATAGAGCATACAAAATTGAATAAGCTCTCAAGGACGAAAAGTTTGATTTTAAAAGTCTATATTATGATCCACAGCTAATTACATATAGCTACCCAAGATCCAACATTCATAGTACTAATTCGTTTTTAATATTATAGTCTTTATTGAAGATATATATGCTGTTGATACCCTGGAAAATTTGATCACGTTGCTGTTTTAATTTATTTTCTAAAAAAAAAGAGGTTTAATGTTTATCTGACATATCTTATTCTCTGGATGAAGTTAGAAGTATGTAAGAAAAGAAAGATTCCTAAATTTATAAATTTCAATAGTATTACAAAATTATCGTTGATGATAAATGTCCATTTAAAGTAGGTTCAAGTTGCTTTCAGATCACAATCTCTTCCTTGCTCCTACTCAATTGGCTCATAAAACACACATATGCTTTTTTCCAACTATAACAACTATACGAGTTTAAAGCATGTATTAATAATTATACAAATCATTAGAGATTATGTTTTCGTTAAATAACTTTCACAAACAAATATAGACGTCTTGAAACACACTAAAACCAATATAATTTTTTTGGTTATGGTTGGTGAGAAAACAGAAAGTAATTGGTGACACCGCTTGATATAATTGACATATATTTTTTTTTTCTTTTTGAAAATCACCAATTATTTTTGTCAACATTTTATTTATGTTTAGATAGACAGATTTTTTCAAACAAAAAAAAGTTGATGGTTAAAGGAAAATTGTATGTTTTATGCCTATTACATCTCACCTGTTGATTACATATTACATTATTTAGTTTCTTTATGATTTTTTTTGCTGGTTTTCTATATGAAGGTAAGGAACTATGGCGAAGACTCACCAAAAAAAAAGGAACTATGGCGAAGAAATTGGAAGAAAAAGTAATAACTTGTAGAGTTATACCAAAAATTAAAGTTGATGTTATTTCTTTTTTCATTTTTTACGTAAAGTGGATGTTTACCATAAAAATGGAAAAAAGTTTACGTTAAATTTCAAATAAATATATTTAAGATTCACTTTTAATAATTTTAAAGTAAAACATTTCGATAATTATTAAAAAGGGTGGATAAGACAAGAGACCACAAATGGCAAGATTGGTCCCACAACACTAGAATCTAACGCTCCAGAATGATTCCATCTCTTCCGTGTGGGACCCACGTATTTGTGCTGCGTCACTGCCCATACGATGACGTATCGACGTTAATTTCAGTGTAAGAAGAAGAATCAAGAGAGATGAAGATTCATGAAGACTTGAAATGACGTAAATACCCTCGATATCTTCTTCTTCCTTATATTTAAACACCATCGTATATCTCTCTCCTTTGTCTCGACTTCCATGTCCGATATATCTTTACCAGAGAGAGAAAGCTCAGAAATTTAATTACCTTATAATTCTTTTTTTCTTTTGCTGGGAAATTGAGGAAGTGATTGTTATCACCGGAGGAGAGAGAGAAAATGTTGGGAATTTTCAGTGGAGCTATAGTATCGCCGCCGGAAGAGCTGGTAGCTGCCGGAAGCCGAACTCCGTCGCCGAAAACAACCGGGGCAACTCTAGTGAAGCGTTTCGTCGAGAAAAATCCCTCCGCCGTGTCTGTACAAGTCGGCGACTATGTTCAGCTAGCTTACAGCCATCACAACGAGAGTCCTCTCCGGCCGAGGTGAGTCGCCGGCGATTTTCCTTATGTTCATTTCTATGTAAACCTGGCTTTTTACAATGATTCCAAAGTTTTCACCGTCGGATCGATATGATCGGACGGTGATGAGATCATCGTCGAGCCTTTAAATTTCGCTGACAAATAAAATCTTGAAATATATATATATATATATATATATATATATATATATATATATATATATATATATATATATTAAACAACAAAATTAAAGTCAATTGCATATTTGCATGTATGGACCATATTTCATTTGATTTCGTCCGATTTTCTTATCTAAAATTGTTAAGAAGGTAGGGAATTAGTGAGAATTATCTGATTTAGATTTTAATTTTGTAGATTATTTAGTTTTATATTGTTTCTACTTTCTACTAGATTCCGATTTACATAATTATGTTATTCTTCTAAGCACTCCACTTAACTTAGGGTGATGTATGTTTGTGGTATGGTGTGGTGTGGTGTGGTGTGGACCCAAACAATAATAATTTTAGAGTCCGAATATATTTTCTAAAATTATTTATATATATATATATATATATATAGGAAATATGGATATACAAGGTACATCATAGGTAGCTTTATTTAAATGTAGCGATCCAAATTTGTATGGATAATTCGCATAGTTTTTGAAGTGTGGATACACCATATAGCGATCCAAATTTGTATGGATAATTCGCATATACAAGGTACATCATAGATATTGTCTATACACCATATAGACAACATCCATGTCACTGAGAATCCGATTACAAAAATTTAGCATAAGAATAATCAAAATTACATTTCCAAATTCATTCACAAATTTCTATATGGTTACAACTATAGGGACTGTATGTATTTTGGATATGCAATAATATGGCCAAACTACAAAGACAACTTTGGTTGGGCCACCAAACCTTACAATAAAATCCCACGACCATTAATAGCCTTATGCACCACACTCTATCTTTAGATTTTACCCATATCAAAATACCAATACATTCATAATTGCATGTCTATTTAAAGATTTGATGCTGACTTATCCGTCTGACTATTCGCATTTAAAACTTCAATAGTTTATTTGCAATACTTTTTCTCTAGATGGGTTTAAAGTTTTCTTATTTTGCTCAAATTAAGATAATTTGGACTTATCTTGCTCAAGTTAAGTTAATTTGGACTTGGTGTGATATATAGGCTTGTCGTAAGATGGTTTTTTGAAATGATACAGATCATTTGGGGCTAAGGATGAGATATTCTGCTTGTTCCAAGGTTCACTTGACAACCTAGGAAGCTTGAAACAGCAATACGGGCTTGCAAAGAACGCAAACGAGGTTCTTTTGGTCATCGAGGCTTATAAGACTCTCCGTGACAGAGCTCCTTACCCGGCCAACCACGTTGTGGCTCACCTAAGCGGTGATTTCGCCTTTGTGGTCTTCGATAAATCAACCTCCACTCTGTTTGTAGCTTCTGTAAGTTATTTTAACCCCCTCATAAACCCTTTTTAACTGTGAAGTAGATTGAATCTAGCGGTAAAAAACCGGTTTTTGATTTGCTGCAGGACCAAGTTGGCAAGGTTCCATTGTATTGGGGAATAACAGCTGATGGGTATGTGGCATTTGCTGATGATGTTGAGTTGCTAAAAGGTGCTTGTGGCAAGTCTCTTGCGTCTTTCCCTCAAGGTTCGTTGTTCAGTTTGTCTGTTCACTCCTAAATTCAAGATTTTTCGGAGCATTACCTGTTCCATTGAAGCGATTTTGATTTTTGAATGGTTGTGTATGCGTGGGTTTCAGGCTGTTATTACTCAACGGCGTTAGGTGGGCTTAGGAGCTTCGAGAACCCTAAGAACAAGATCACTGCAGTTCCTGCTAATGAGGAAGAAATTTGGGGAGCCACCTTTAAGGTAATTGATTCTCCAAAAACAAATCATATTAAGTATATTCTGTTCAGCAACTTACAACACAAACTTTGGTGGTGGGAACAGGTGGAAGGAGCAACAGTTCTTGCAGATTGAGGATTAAAGAAAACAAACAAAGAAGAAGATCCATGTCTCTTAAATCTCGAACTGTGACAGCAAAAAAATAAAAAATGATGTAGGAAAAACAAAAAGCTGTTCTATGAGTTCTTGAAGCTATCAATGGTTGGTGATGTGTGTAGTGTTATATCTCTCTTATGTTTTATGCTTCTTTGTACATCCCGTGTATGTCTTCTGGTGTTATTAGTGTCTTCTTCCTAATAAGTTTAATGTCTCTGAAACCAAAATCTACCTTCTCTTGATCCTTTCGTCTCTGTTACTATAGTAAATCTCACAATTCTCAGTATGTATACATGTATCTGTAAGAAGTAATATTGACACTGGAAGAGAACGGGTTCTGAGCACCGAGTCGTAATCTTTATTTGGTAATCACAAGATTCAGGTTTATTATTCAGAAAAAAACAGTAGTGAGGAAAATAGACACCAGAGAACAGAAACAAGAACAACTTCTGAATTCACAGAGACAATAAGATGTCGTAGTAGGCAAGACAACTCTACTTCATGTGTTCTGAGATTAAGATGCAGGGCAGATATCCTCCAAACTATTAAAGAAAGCCGATAAACATTATGATCGAGACGAAATGTTTTTGTGGATTCTCTGATGCAGCAGTTCCAGTAAGAAAGAAATCCATACCTCTCCCCTAAACATTCGATAATGTCGCTTGTGAGAGTTGATCTCTTATGTTTTGTAAAGGCCAGAGATGCAGCCTTTCTCAGCAGGCCAGATGCAGCTATGCATCCCAAGATAGCTGGATTCTCAGCGGGACTGAAATTTTTTGGGTTTCAGAGATTGTCAAAACCACTTTGCTCAACCAATTATGTATAGCCCAATCTAGTATGTATCTAACCTTTCAGGATCCGATTTAAGCTGTCGTGCCCATGACCAAAACACTGCAACACTAGATAAAACCAAATCCATGTAGGCACTATTAGTGGTTACAAAAGTTCAGACTTTTAATTGTGGTAACCTGAGCAATCTAATGATATTGGATCAAAGAACGATGAGCTAACCCCCCAGAGAGAATATCGCCTTGTCCACCGCAGCGCCTTGGTGAACCATATATGCTTACTGATTTTACTGCAAAACAGAGATAATCACACCTTGCGTTCTCAACATTCTCTAACCAAAAGAAAAGATAGCTAAAAAGTTACTCACCTGTCTCCCCATTGCTTATAAGATCAGATTTCCCTTTCCTGAGAATCGTGACACCACCAATCCTGAATGACACAGGCGTTTAACATTATTATCATTAGATTTTTCGCTGCAAATCACCAGATGAGCCTGGTGATGTGTGTGAGATACTTCCCTAGTTCCCTCGAGATGTCTTGTGAAGATTTTCAGATTCTAATATTCTAGTCCTGTGAAGTCATTTTTGTACTTACTGTTTGGCCAAAGTACGTAACTGGTCTTCAGCATTTTGTTCATCTACTTCACAATTCAGCACTTTTTGAACCAGGCGCTTATACTCGTTCACATTTGGGGTTAACACAGCAAGTGGATAGCGGTGGACAAGATCAATGGAATTTGTTACAAGAAACAGCCCGTCCTGCGGAATCACCACGGAACAGTCAGAAGATAAAACAATCAAGATTTGGGAAAAGACAAGAGCCTATCACATCCGCACTTTATGCTATCTATCATTGCTTACCCCATCTACAACAAAAGGAACATTGAACTTTTTGGCAAGAAGCATGATTTTACTCACACATTCCTGGAAATACAGAATCATAACTTGTAAGTCCACCACCAAAGCAATGACAAATCAAATTCTGTAATGTGATGAAGCAGGACTAGATGAATCTGTACCAGGAGAAATGGATCTCTTCCCAAACCAGGACCAATAACAAGGCAATCAAATCTTTCCATCCATTTATCGACTTCCCCGAGCACTTTATCTTGAACTTTTCTTTGATCTTCTTCACTGAGTTGACTACGTCCAGAATACCATTCATACAGATATGAATCAGGGATTGTAATAAAAACCTACGGAACGAAACCACACAGGAGAAGTAGCACACACTATGGAATGGAGTTTTCACCTGATGCTATATGATTCCTCAAGAACAGGGTGAACTATAAGCTCAGGACTATAGCTCTTTATAACAGGAGCTGCGTCTTTCGTGCAGAAGACATGAGACAAATCAGCACCCTACAAGTTTTACAGACATGAAACCAGTCTTCTCATTTGTGTACAGATTAACTTCAAAACCAAAGATGAGTAGCGAGAAGCTGTGGAAAAAGAAACTACTAACGATTTTCAAAGCTGAAATGGCAGCAAAGTATGGAGCTCCTGTGTATTCACGACATCCTCCAATCACAGCTATCTTCCCTGACACAAGATCAATTTCAACACATGAGCTAAACGAACCTAAAAAGACTCAAACTTTAAAATCCTAAAGTTTCGAATTTGACTAATTACTGATCACACAGTTGAATAACCAAACACAAAACACGGTAGCAATTACGTAGAGACGAAGAAGAGTACTAACCAGCTTGGCCTTTGTGTCGTTTGGGATCGAGCGATGGCGTCACGGTTCGAAGTACACTCTCAGCGTCGGCCTCCGATGTGGAACTCATTGCTCTGATGAGCTTGGGGCGATGAATTTGTGACCCACAAAGCGTACGTACCAAGAACTGTTGCCTTCTGAGCACACTTGAAGAAGAAGAAGGTGAGTGAGAAGTCAATCGTCCCAAGCCAGAGATGACGCTATGCTTCACCAACATCAGATTCTCGTTGAGCTACGGCTTCCGATACAGCACCGAGAGATGGACACTCTATTTGGTTCAGAAGGTCTCGTTTTTATTTAATTATTTTACAGGAAAGAAGAAAAAGACAAAAACTTTTTCGGGAATCGGAGGTTTTGGAGAGAGGAAGAAGATGAAGAGGACGGTGATGGACAACGCGATTCGATCATCGGTGGTGGTGTTGGGATCATTGGCCTTTGGTTACTTGTCACTGGAACTTGGTTACAAGCCTTTCCTTGAAAAGGCTGAACAATACGAAAGATCTCTTCAATCTTCTCAACAACATCAACAACAAGGTCTTGTGTTCTCTCTCTGTCTCTCTCTTTCAATCGCTCTGCTTATGTTTCATTTCAGAAGAGATAGATTTATGCTGTGAATGATTGATGGGTAAGTTGATGATCCATTAGACTTTGGAAGTTATTAAGGTATCTCATGATGCGTTAGAGATTTGTGAAGATCCCAATCTGGGTTTGAAAACTTGTTTTTGCTCGGATTCAAGTGAAAGTTTTAGATATCTTAGTTTTCGAGAATTGGCACCAGTGCTAAAGAAAGTCTCAAACTTTTTCCTCTACAGTCCCGAGATCTTGCTTCTAGTTCCGATTGGTAACAATGTGTGTGTAATTGCATCATTGATGGAGAAAAACCGCATAATGCCATAATTTCTTTCATTTTTGATCACTAAACTTGCATAATTGCTAAGTTGTTGAACTTCAATTGTGATTAGTGAAAACATGATTCTAGTGATCACCAATTTAGAACTAGTTTACGCAAGTGCAGGGTGCTAATAGCAGAAGATGATTGGCCATTTAGAGATTCTCTGAAAACTCTTTCTCTTTCATTTTGTTACCAAATAGTGTAATTTCTTGGAGCCCTTTACGCTCTTACTCATTGCAAAATCCATGGTCTTAAGAGTTCTAACCCATACAACTTTGAGTGTTCGCTATGTTTTTCTTACTCTCTGATCTTGTAGATGAACCCTTTATGTTCTTAGTCGTTGCGGAGTCCATAGTCTTAAAAGTTCTAACTTACAGAACTTTGAGTGTTCATTAACCTTGTTCTTACTATCTGATCTTGTAGATGAAGAACAAGAAGCGAGGTGGGACAATAGCAATGTCGAGGGGTGGGAGGAGAAAAGGTAGTCTTATAATCGGTTTCAATAACAGACCTATCAAAATGTGTGAGGAAGAACCTTATCAAAATTTTCTTCTTAATCAACCTTAAGATCAATCTGTTAACTATCCACCATGGCCCGTTTTTTTTTTTATCAATCACTCAAAATCATATCTTAGTATAGTACCGATTGCCTTAATCGATCTGAAGTTACAAACACAAGTGTTTAAGAACCATCCTTTATCAGCAACCTAAAATAATCTCTGGTTTGTAAGAAAATGGCTTATCTGATGCAAACCTTGAACAATTGTGCGCTCCATTACGAGATTGTGGTTCTACATGGTCCCTAAGTAGATCTGCTTTTACGACGATTGGCCCTTGCAAATCACAAACAAAGACCACTGTGACTGCTCTCTCAATCAAAGTTCATTGGCTGAAGTTGAATTGAGGCTGGAAGCAGCAGAGGAAGGAAGCAACAGTGTATATGTGATTATTATGAGATCCATCCTCTCTTACACTGCTAGTACTTGGTTTTAGAGTTGGACCAAATCATTAATTTTGTTTTTGTCTTTAAATCAGTAGTTGTACAAAAGCATTATAACAATTAAAGGTACTAATTTGATCTTGGCCGGTACGCAACCTTTTCTCGGTTCTCACTCTCTGACTTTCATTGAATCTTGTCCCTAGACAAATAACATGTGATGTGTTCATTCAAATCTCCGGCATGAACGGCTTCGAGTCGGAGGATTTTCGTGCTTCACTAATCTAAATTTTGTACTTTTCTTTAACCATTAAAAGATTCCATCTAATTACCAAATTCAATTTATTGAGTCTACCAACCATTAGTGTAGTAAATCAATCACATATTTCATACCAAAAAAAATGATATAAGAAATCATTCACATATACTCATTTTTGGACCAAAACGCAATTTTCGGTGAATTTGAAAATGAATCACACACGCACCAAACGCCTTAACCGTTTTAATGCGCCGTCTTAAGCCCCACCACTCTCATCACTTTTTCCACGCGCCATGATCGCGCGTCTGACAAGTTTTGGATCTACGGGACCCGCCACTTAAGAGGACCCACGATTCACACACTCTCCAAGTCTCTCCCTTTACGAAACAAGACGGTCAAGAAAAAAGTTGAGACTGTTCTTTTATGTTTTTAAAGATTTTGAAACCGAAAATTTTAAGCTAATTACACCTTTGGATGTGTATTTGTTCGCTAATCCATTTACTAATCTGACGAATCCATTATTCCAAGCAAAGCTGTCTCTTCAGCTTACTCTTTCCTTGTTTCTCATTCAATTTCTTTTGGCTCTATTGATTTCTTTTAGAAAGCAAAGCCACAAGAAGTAGAAGAAGAAGAATCTCTACTCAGAGAATAATAAAGTCTTCAACTTTTGAAGTTTCTTCTTAAAAATAAAAACCTCACAGATGTCGAAGAACCCATCTCAAGAAGACGACGAAGCCATGCCAATCTCCGAAGTAGTAATAAAGAGATTCAAGCGTTTAAGGCTCGTATTCGAGCCGTCACTAGGAGTCTTGGGTTTTTTCTTGGTGGGTTTGTGTTTAGTCTTCAGCTTCTTCTATCTCGATTACAGAACCGTCGCTAAAACTAAAAGTCATGACTTTTCGGATCAATCGGAGAGATTTCTTTGGCTTAAGGAGCTTGATGGGTTTGTAGATAACAACACCAAAGTTGGGTTTCTTGAAGAGAGTGGGAATGGTTGTGATTTGTTCGATGGGAAATGGGTTTGGGACGAATCGTATCCGTTGTATCAGTCTAAAGATTGCACCTTTCTTGATGAAGGATTCAGATGTACTGAGTTTGGGAGACTTGATTTGTTCTATACTAAGTGGAGATGGCAACCTAACCATTGTGATTTGCCCAGGTAAATGGGAAAGTGAGGGAAAAAAGAACGGTGCTTTTTGGTTTGATGTTCTTCACAGTTTCAGCATCTTTCTCTGTAGCCAAAGGAGTTTGCTAAAGATTCTTAAGTCGCTTTCAGTTTTGTCTTAGAGATTGTATGGGATTAGAAATGTTATGTTTAGGATCTGATTCTCACCCAGATCAAAGGAGTGTTTATGGCGTTGGATTTATAGATTAGTTGTTAATAATGTGTTTGTTTGAATTATTGTTACTTAGCTTACACTTCTTGTTATATAATGGATCAGATTTGATGCCAAGTTGATGCTGGAGAAGCTAAGGAACAAGCGGCTGGTATTTGTGGGAGATTCAATTGGAAGAAACCAATGGGAGTCTCTTCTTTGTATGCTAGCTTCTGCAATCAGGAACAAGAATTTGGTTTATGAAGTGAACAATAGACCCATCACAAAGCACATGGGCTTCTTTGTGTTCAGGTTTCATGACTACAATTGCACTGTTGAATACTATAGAGCACCGTTTTTGGTTCTCCAAAGCCGTCCACCTAGTGGATCACCAGAAAAGGTAAAGACGACACTTAAACTAGAGACGATGGAATGGACTGCCGACAAGTGGAAAGATGCGGATATATTAGTGTTTAACACCGGACATTGGTGGAACTATGAGAAAACTATTCGCGGGTTAGCTTCTTTCTTCTTGTTAACATTCTCAGAACTAATCAGCTTAGTTTGGTTCCTTGACTGATCTTGGATTTGTTACTGCAGAGGTTGTTACTTTCAAGAAGGAGAAAAAGTGCAAATGCGAATGAAGATAGAGCATGCGTATAGACGAGCTATGAAAACCGTTATGAAATGGATACAAGAAGAGGTTGATGCAAACAAGACACAGGTCTTCTTCCGCACATTTGCCCCTGTGCATTTCAGGTTTGTCACGCATATTTACAAAACAAGAATCTTTGATCAATCTTAAGCTTCCATTTAATCACTGTTTTCTCTCAATCAGGGGAGGAGATTGGAGAACCGGAGGAACATGTCATATGGAGACACTGCCTGATTTTGGAGCCTCTCTGGTTCCAGCAGAGACATGGGATCATATAAAGCTCCTTCAAGATGTCTTGTCATCGTCTCTTTACTACTTGAAAACATCAGAGACGGTTGAACTGAAAGTGTTGAACATAACAGCCATGGCTGCTCAAAGAAACGATGGTCACCCATCACTGTACTACTTGGGCTTGGCTGGTCCTGCGCCATTCCACAGGCAAGACTGCAGCCATTGGTGTCTCCCTGGAGTTCCTGATTCGTGGAATGAGCTTCTTTATGCATTGTTTCTAAAGCATGAAGGCTATTCAAGTCCAATATCAAACAATAGCGATACAGACAACTTTACATAACATCTTTTTGGTTAGCATCTGGTTCTTGCTCTCTATGGGCTAAGCTCAAGATTTTGATTGGGTGATTAGGTTAAATTGGGTAGGGAATATGTAATTACTGATTAGGTTAAGCAACTTTTGTTGTAAAGATAAATCTTATTTTTCTTCAAAGATTTGAGTGATAATTTTGGTCCTCTGTTCTCAAAAAATGTTGGAAAAGTGTATTTTCCTTTTGATTATAAGAAATAAATCCATATATAACAAAAACAAATTAACTAGAATAATTTAATTAGAGGTTTGCTTAAAATAATTAAAATATCTTAGATATAGTCAAATATAATCCACCAAAATTAAATTCAAAGATATATTTGCTTACATAATCTAGAAATTAAAGTCTTATTATAATAACAAAATATTTAATATAATATTATTTTGTTCTATCATTGACCCAAAAACTTTAAGGGTCACAAAGAAAAGCTTTCGGAGCTATGTGGCAATGGCAATGGCAACTTTTGAGTTTCTTCGAGCTCTCTCCCCCGTGATCAATCTCCGTGAATCGTCACTCTCTCTATCTCTTCTGTTTCAGTGGCTAATCTCGATGTTCCAGCAGTAGTTCTAGAGACCTCGATACAATTCTTCTAGTTGATATATTCTACAACCATAACGCTCAATATATATTCTTTCTAATGAATCAGTCTGTCGCTTTAGAAGTACATGATATTTTTTTTTTTGTTAAAACACACAATTCACTTAACTATAAGTAGTATAGTGCAAACTTATTCCAACCATCCTACAAGTTAGGGATCATGACCCCAAATAATTTTTTGCGGTTTTGAATGTCCGAGGTGAATATCCTAGTATGGATGCTTGTGTAATCGAAGGAGAAAAAAATATCAAGGGATTGGTAAATGTAAGTTAACATTATGCAGACCTTTCTTTTGCTTATAAAGAAATCCATATATGATCAACTAACTACAATCCTAATTGAAAACCAATGGAAAGTTTAAAGCTAACACTTGATTCGCCACTACAAACAACAAGATCGATCCTCGTGAAGGTTGTAGCAACACAACTTGTTAATTAGTAGTTTTTGCTTCTTCTTATTTTTTTCTTGTCATTTAATTTATAAACAGAAGCTCATTTCCTTCGATTGTATGTATTATTGGGTTGCTATGTTTAGCCCCAACCGGGTGGTCTATACTTTATGAAAATGTGTTTCCACATTAATTGCTTCGAGTGCAACGTCTCTTACATCTTTTTATCTCTGCATTAATACAGTCAAGTGGTGCGAGCATATTACTAGAAAAGCAAATTTTTTAAAACACAATTCTTGGTGGTATAACTATATAATCAATTTAGGCTGTCGTGAAAGAGCCACTTGACTTCCTAAACACCGTCCGCACTATCATGTAACAAATATTTTGAATGACTTTATAAAATAAATAAATGAAACAATAATTTTAATGACTTAAATTGGTAACTTGGTAAATATATAAAAGGGGTTTGGAGTTTAGTGTGATTGAAAAATGAAAATATAAAAACAAAACTTTCTTAAGGTCGAAGGAGAGAGAGAAAATGAAAACTAGGGCAAACAAATGAAGAAATGCACCAACCAACGTCAATATCTATTCAAGCATCGTCAACAAAACCAGTATTCGGATGATCTATTAGCAAAAACCATTAGAAATTTTCCAAACCAATGGTGCATGTACCATTCGTGTCAAATGTTTCTTAATGCAGCTGTAAACAATGATCTTTGATAAGTTTAATAAAAAGTCTCTAGAAGGAAAAAAAAAAACCAACGTCAATATCTATCCTTCCTCTTTTGCAATTTATCTTTAGAATGCCAATCTTATTATATATTCTCTATCACGATGACGAGCTCCTTCGATCTCTAACCTTAATCGCATCGCTAAAGTATATATTCTCCTACTATACACAGTGCCGGTCCGGTAAATTTGGGTGCCCTAAGCAAAATTAAAACCATAAAAAAAAAAAATCTATATATATAATGGGAGAGTTTCTCTCCTCTTAGGGTGTCCACATCATCACCACATTAATATTATAGATCCCACCAACAATTATTTCAAAATATTTAATTTTATGGTTAATACATCTCATTATCAAAGAAATAATCATCAATTAATGCACAATTTTAAATAAAGGTTACTTGAATAAGAATAACATGAGTGTAACATATATACATATAAAACACTTAAAATTAATTTTATGTTAATATATAACTTAAAATGAACATAACCCCTAAATATTTAATTAAGAAATAAAAAATAATTATGAAAATTTTATAAAGATATCAATGTTATTTAAGATGGATAAAAGGATTCTTAATGAAATTTATTATACAATTACAAACAAATAATAACTTATTAAAAATAAAATAAAACATTAAAAACTATCATTTTAAGAATAATAAGGAAACCTCAAATATAATTTAGGATGAACAAAAGAATTGAATTGAAATGGAAAGCTATAAGAGTTTTTTTTTTTTTAATAATAAGAAGATATTCATATTTCATGGAAACATTAACTTAAAGAGATAATAATGAAATAGAAGAAATTCATTTTAAATAATAATATTTTTAGATTAAAAAAATAAATGGTTAAATGTTATAGTAAATGTATGTTTGTATAAGTTTTTAAAGATAAAAGAAATAATTTATATTTAAAATTATATTTCGAGAGAGTAATAGTATAGATTCACATTGACGAAAAAAATAGAAAGATTCAATGTATCTTAATATTAAATTAGAGTAAAATATAAGAATAAAAACAATACAATTATATCTACATTATTTCGAGATAGTAATAGTATAGATTCACATTGATGAAAAAAATAGAAAGATTCATTGTATCTAAATATTAAATTAGAGTAAAATATAGGAATAAAAATAATACAATTATATCTACATTATTGTTTGCTTTCTAAATAAAAATTGAATATGTTTAAATATAGGTAAAAATCTAAATAAGTACTATTGAGAAAGTTATAACAAATATATATCTTTCGTAAAATTACATTACACTGAAGCACGAAAACCATATAACTAATAAACGAAAGATAAACTAAGAAGATGAAAATGAGGAAATAGTTTTGAGTTAAGAATCAATTTAAAGTTTTATTATATGTAAGTGAGCATAGAAGATAATAGAAGAGTAGATGTTGGAAAGCGAACAAATGCATCATAGAAGATGACGAAAAAATGTTTGAAGATCCTGAAGCATCAGATATATGTATGCACATGACTAAACGAAATTCATCGGATATATGTATGCACTATAGATAATTTGGTTTAGTAAACCAGACTATCATATTCAACATCGGGTTAAATCGTCGAACCATGTAAGCATAATAGGATAGATAAGATAAAGACATTTATGATTTGGTCAAAATTTTCCTTTAGGTATTATGGTCTTGCTTCAATAGATAAATTATGCTCTCCAAACCTATTGAAGTGGCATGAATATTACGTTTATATATTTTCATAGATTGATGTTCAAACTTAGCAAATTTACTTTTAGTACGAGGTACGATAGGTCAAAACATCAAGAAAAATATACTTACAAGATTTGTTTATGGAAATAACTCTCTTTTTGATAAAGTCCATTGATAACTACCGAGACCGATTCATCTTATATAACTTTTATTATTACGTGTTTCCTACCAAATATATTTTATAATTTCTATGTTTTGAAATTCAAACGATTATGATTAGTTTTGACATTTTGTATTGTAACCCGTTGAAATTTGGTATCCCGCGCAACGCGCGGGCGAATAAATCTAGTTCTTTTAAATTAGATTTTTATCATTAAAAAGAATATTGTAGTTGTCTCTAAAAGCCAACAATATTTTTAAAAGGCCCTACAAAAATTATTGTATATAAGAAAACTTAACAAATTTTTAGGTAAAAAGGCCCTCAAATTTTGAGGCCTTAATCGGTGGTTTCGGTAGCTTGCCCTCTGCGCCGACCCTGACTATATATATGGCCCGTAATATACTCAATCAATGATTTGAGTGTATCCTTAATACAATACTAGGAAGTGAAAGAAAATTCTAGAAAAGGAGACGCTGTATTAAGTTTGACTAAGAAATTTTTTTATGAAGATCGAAAGTAATACCATGTTGGTTAAAATTTAATTTTTTTAATATACAAAAGTTATAATAGACCGAAAAGTAAATAGACTGTAAACCAATTGAAAAATATAATTAAATGTCTATGCATACATCAAAATTAAATGTTATTTTGTAAGAAAAAAACTCATAGAAATCCCAATATACAAAACAATCCATATGCACTATGCTTTTTCAAAATATTTGATTAAAAACCCACATTAATATAATTTTTTTATTTTATTTCATTGCGGTTATAATAGTCAACACGATAATAATTTGCCTTAGAAGTCCAATGCTAGAAAAGTATAAGTACACCGTTTGAATATATAGCTTGGCCTTAGCATTAGGGACTAATATAGGATTTTTTAGTTATTGCAACAACATCTAATAGGATCTTTGGGAGTTCGGTTTGCACAATCTCCTGTACGGAATCCTTTTTCAGTACAGTCTACAAAGCATTCACGTGATCCATACCCTCCGTCCTCACACAAATGGTAGCAATGATCATATGAGAATTTTTTGATCTCTGCACCTACACAAATTCACAAAATATATAAAATTATATATAACATGTCCAAACAATATTTTGAAGGTTCTGACTTCTGAATACATGTTCGAACATACAAGATCATTTTCAATTCTTAAAATCGAACAATGTTAATTAGCATATAAAAAACGAAAACTTTTAAATATACCTGAGGCCAAAATGATTTCGTTGGACAACAAAACTGCTAAGATGACAATGTGAAAAAAGATCACCAAATTTTTTGCAATACCCATAATTTTTTTCTTTTCTGTACAAAGTTAATGAGAAAAGGATGTTGTTAATTTTTTGGCTCTTAAGAAAGACTCTATATATATATATATATATATATATGTCGTGATCTTGAAAAATCTCAAATTGAATCAATTTATTTAATTTTACTATTAAATTTTTTTCTATTTGTGCTAAGAAATATTATTTTGGTCAAGAAAGTATTGCCACTATTTATGTATATTGAATATATTGTTTGACTCTATTTATTAACTATTTAATGAAAATAAATATTTGGGGATCTATGAAAGTTATCACAAATATGTATAATAGTACATAATAAAAATAGTTAAGAATCTATAAAACATATCAAAGTACTAAACGAATGGTATGATATATATTATTACGAATTAAAGGTTATTTTATTTTGTTTATCAATTGATATATAGAAGATCTAGTTTGCAAATCAAATTAAACAAGATTTGACAATTGTAAGTATGGACAAAGACTCAAAGGTAATTTATTGCATATTTCTTTCTACGAATCAATGTATATTGACTTAATGTAAGATTTTATTGCGTAACCCTGTATGGTAATTTAATATATTAGTCTATAATCATCCTATACTAATATTTGGGAAGTACATCCTAAGGCTCATAACTTAGATTTTGTAAAAAATTACAATATATGCCATTAGAGATATCTAATTATAAACATTTTATTCCATTTCACTAATATATATTTAACGGATCAACGGGTCAACGGGTTTAAAGATATCAAAAGATTTTTTTTATATAATTTCAATAATTAATATAGTTTAATCTAATTCAATATAATTCGAGAATGTCTTATTCTAATCAATTCGACAATTTAACACAATGATGTTCAATAATCAATTCGAGAGTCATAATTTAACACAATTCGACAATTTAAAAATTTAACACATTGAAAACGTTACTCAAAATGTTATATAGTAATCCATCATTCGAACATGTTATAAAGTGAATTATAAAAATGTTATTGAAATTGTAAACATAAAATGATATATCATTGAAAATATTTTATATCAAGCCAATTTATTAGAAAAAATTTATTATAAAAAATGCTATTCGAAAATGATATATCATTTTAAACGTTTTAATACCGATAATTATAATACTCATATAGCTATTTTACAAGATGAGATTGAAAATGTTAGTAAGATTCGTAATCTTTGATGAAGCTAAACAATATAACTCGAATCCTATATAAACAAACAATAATTTAAGTTACCTAAATCTCTGAAATTACAATATATGCCATTATATAATTCTAATCACAAAATTTATTCCATGTCACTAATATATATAAACGGGTCAACGGGTCAACGGGTTTAAAAATATTAAAAGATTTTGTTTATATAATGCATAATTAATATCATATGGAAACTATTAAAACCTCTAAATCGTTTTAATATCTAAATTAGTTAATAAATTATCCAAAACTGATATTAAAAATAATAATTTCAATTTGTTTTTACAAATCAAACAATCTTCTATATTTAAACAATCGTTGGAATACTAATTATTTTTCAAAACCATAAAATCTAATATATTTTGGAGTAACTCCAAAATAGTCAAAATTATAATATTTTTTTTTTGTGCAAAAATCAAAATTATAAATAACAATTAGAAATATTTGGAGATATTCAAAATAAATACAAAATCTATGAATATCTAATATTCCTAATAACAAAAATAATCTTTGAGATTCTTTTTCCATATTCTACTAACCACTTACTAAATATTAGTATATATTAAATATATCATTTTATTTACAAAATTGAAATTCATATCCCGTATTTTAAGCAACTATAACACACACAAATCAAAACAGTCAACAAAATATTCCGATTTTCTTAAAATATAGTTATCATTAACTATACAAATCTCAAATATTGTGGAAAATTGTTAACCACGTGATTTACAATTTGTCATAATTTCAATTAGTTAATGATAATTCCATATTCTACATCTATAGTTAGTTTTGCGATCTTAACCAAAAATATTTTAAACAACTTTAGCAATTACAATAGATACGTCATAAATGATTTAGAATATTTCTTTGGATCAAGCATATTCTTTTTTATGTCATCTTTAGGCCTATAAATATTGGAACAAAACAAAAGAGTATCAAGTCTAGGTTGCCGGTGCATAACATGTATCTTTACTTTTGTTTTTGCGTTTTCCATTCTTCCATTTTAGTTTATAATAATGGCTAATGTATGTATTCTTTTCTTTTACTTGGTTTGTTGAATTTGTTGGTTTTATTTTTTATTAAGTTTGGTCACTAATTTTGCATGACACATCCTTTGGTCACTAATTTTTATTGAATCATAAATTTTGGGATGGTTAAAACTAATCTACGAATCAAAATTTTTACAGATTCATGGAGGATTAAGGTGACAATTTTCAGAGCATGGAAGCCACAAAATAATTTGTGAGAAATGATGGAGTTAATTCTCCTTATATTCAAAGGTTAATCCTACTTTACATCATTTTTGTTATAATAGTTTAAGTTTTTAATTTATATTTTGTTTCATATATATCACATAATATTTTCTTTTATGTGTTTCCTTCTCAGCCGTGAATCTTTAATGCTACATCATCTTTTCAGAGGGGCATGACAAAGGTTTATCCTACTTCTCATCTTAAGAATTTTTTTTTTCATTTTAGGTTTTGTTACTAAATTGCATTATATATAATAGATATATGTTTTTTCTTCATCGATAACTTTATTGTTATCGCATGATTTCGTAATCTTTCCTACAATTCTATCATTAATTGTGAATCATATAATCCAACCTGTTTAATCATCTTAGGGCTTCAGACAACAACTTCACCATCTCAAACCGCAAGGTGTCTTCGTCCGAAGATCAGGGTTAATTTGGTGGTGTATTTGAAGAGTTCGGTTACGTCTTTCGTGGTTCCCACGAAACTTTTTTCAATTTGGGATCATGTGTTGCTTCCAAGGTTTGTAAGGATGTTGTTGTTTTGGATTCTTCTCTGCTCGATCCTTTCATGTTAGGGTTTTACTGCGGCAATTATTTTCCGGTAGATCCAATTCCGGTCACAGATAAATTGGGGGCTTTGTGGCAACGATGGTGCTTGGGATCTTTCTTGGATGCCAATGCTTGGGATCTTTCTTGGATGAATTTGGAGTTTTCCTCAAGACTATTTAGTGGATACGATCAACTTCTGGGAGCCACCGATTCTTTTACGGCGGGCATTTACCAAACATCGGCCACATATAATTTAGGTTTCGTCTTCTAGATTATGATTTTCAGGGTATGATGATAACTATTAACTAGGTTTTGAAATCTATGTAATTCATGGTGATTAATCATTATAGTATCTTAACTTTGTTTTACGTTTTGCTCCAATGCAAATCCATGTTTGTAAAAGTTGTAAAGTAGATTTTAGAAGGAAAAAATATTTGTTTTTGTTTCTATAATAAATCGTCGATTGAAAAGGTAATAAATCAAATACTCCTAATTATTAGCATTTCATTAACTAACAACTTATTTTTTAAAAAGATTTTTAAAGATAATGAATACAATTTATTGGTGTTTCCTACAATTCTTATTCATAATATTCAAAAAAACGTTTACATATATCCCAACTAAATACCACTCTTAATTCTTAAAAAAGGAATATGCAACCTTAAATAATGGGAGGCGATATTGGTGACTGCCAACGTAAACGGCTTCTTTACTAGATCAAAATGAATTGCATTCTTTCAAAATATATTAAGGCAAAATAAAGGTATACTTTTTCTTAATATAATAAAGCTTCGTGATTAAAAATTTAGATTTGATGCAAAAACGAAGTTTTAAGATTGGCCAATTCGAGCAAGTCTTACATGAGTCTTAGATAAAATCATCAATACTTTTTCTTAGATAAATATAAACAACATTAAATGGTTGAGTTTAGCCGAGTGCAATCTTATATATTGTTGATTTAATTAACCAAAATCTTGCCTAAATCTAATTCGGTTAGAGTATTTAAATAATCTAAATTTAAATTAAGGAAAACATAGTTTTCGGATTTAAATAGCATGATATATATATATAGTTTATTTAAAATTGTGAATCTTGATTTCAATATTTATAGTTATTATAATTTTTAATTTAGGAAATAAATATGTGTTAATTTAATATTAAGCTCATAGTTAAATCTCTATAATATCGGTAAGATTTTAAACTTTTAATTGACAAATTATTTTAGTAATAAATTTCGTTTACTTAGTTGGAAATATTATAATAACCTCAAATCTTCTCCATATCAGGAAAATAAATCGAAACAATTTAAAGAAGGTTTATGATTTTTTGATCACAATAAGAAACTAAAGAATATTCTAAAGTTTGTTTAGTTGGAAAAAAGAAACTACCAATTATTTAGTGATTTCGAATATATATCATTTGCTTGATCTTCAAGATATTTTATGATTAAAATATTCTATACTAATATTTGGAAAGTACATCCTAAAGATCATAACGTTGATTTTGTAAGAAGTTACAATATATGCCATTAGAAAATTCTAATCATAATCATTTTTTCCATGTCACTAATATATATTAACGGGTCAACGGGTCAACGGGTCAACGGGTCAACGGGTCAAATGGGTTTAAAGATATTAAACAGATTTTGTTTATATATAATCCGAATTCATAAAAAAAATTTTATATAATTCGAATTTATAAAAAAAAATGTTATAAAACAAAATATACAATTTAATTCATAAAAAATATTAAACCCCATACTTAACATAAAATCATATATGTCGCATCTTCTTCTCCCACAACTCATTTCATCGACAACCTCATTTTTGTGAATCACATTCAGTTTTAATCAGATCGGGAATTTTTCATTGTTTCTTAAATCGATTCAATCATCAATCAACTCATGAACTTAATTAATCAATTTCTGTAACTTATAAACAAAATCTTTCGGTTTTAACTTTACCTTTGATCACCACTCCGCTACTTCAATTACTCGAAAGATATGAACGGATTGGACAAGATCTTCAATCTTTGTCGTGTCTGAGGTCGAAATTGAAAGAAATTTGGGTAGAATTCGACATTAGTTTTCTGGGATTAACTGGGATCCGACATTAATTTTTTTTTTTAAAAAAACAACAAACAAACTGAGCCAAAATAAACCCATAAATAGCCCACTAAACATCTCAGCCCCAATACAACAATTTCTTTTTTTTTTCTAATTATCAATTACTACTTAAACTAATTAAATTGTTAATCTCATTAAACAAAATACAAATCTAATGCAGCTAAATATATTCAACTCTAAAATACAATATACTACATCATTTTATTATCAATTCATGTTTTCAACCAAATTAAAATACACAATATTTAATAAATATAATAAAACTATCCAAATATTGTTTTAAAAATAAATCTAAAATACATTGTATAATATTATTTATTTATACAAACAAAATAAACAATTATTTTCAAATAAATACTATACAACATAATATCCAAATAGTAATAAACATAAAATTATATGATTTATTCCCTTTTATACTAAACTATAACACTATATTAGATCTTACATATTTCATATTAAATAAACAATATAATTCAAAAAAAATATAAAATTCCGTGCTGTATAGCACGGGTCATGATCTAGTAATATAATATGACAACATTGATTGATATTTGTTCACTTCTAACGAGAAATCTATTATCTCTTGTTTTTATTTCAATATTGAATTTTCTCAGATATCATTTGTAACTCGTTGTGCCACATCATTAACAACTAAAAAAACAAAAAACGTAAAAGATATCTAAGGTGTAAACAAAGTTTCTTTTCTGCTTTCACACAATGACGTAAAGTCTGAACAAAGAAGTAATGAAGAGGAGATAAATTATAGCCAACTAATTAGTTAAACAACCAAAGGATTTATCAAAATTAAACGTCATTTTCTAATATAATTTTGTTCCGTATTGACCCAATAACTTGAAGGGTCTCAAAGAAAAGCTTTCGGAGCTCTGTGGCAGTGTGTCATGCTTTGAGTCTTCGAGCTCTCTCCTCCGTGATCAATCTGCGTGAATCGCCACTCTCTCTATCGCTTCTGTTTCAATGGCTGAATTCTAGAGACTTCGACAAGCTTCTTCTAATTGATATTTTCAACAACCATAATGCTCACTAATATATATATTTTTTTAGTCAGTCGCTTTAGAAGTATAACATAATATAACATAATACACTTTTTTTTGTTTTGTTAAAGCACACAATTTACTTAACTATGAGTATACTGCAAAATTATTCCAACTATTCTACAAATTACGGATCAGACTTCAGAACCCAAATATTTGTTGCGGTTATGATTGCCAGAGGTGAATATCCTAATATGGATGCTTGTGTAATCGAAAGAGGAAAAAAATCAAGGGATTGGTAAATGTAACACTACGCAGAACTTTATTTTGCTTATAAAGAAATCCATATATAATCATCTAAATACAATCTTAATTGAAAATAAATCGAAAGTTTAGAGCTAACTCTTGATTCTACTACAAACAACAAGATCCTCGTGAAGGTTGTAGCAACAAAACTTGTTGATTAGTAGCTTTTGCTTCTTCTTAATTTTTGTTCTCGATTTGCTTTACTTTCTTTTGTTTTAATCTCATAAGAATTTATTTTCGTGTCATTTAAATTATAAACGGACGCTCATTTCCTTCGATTAGATGATCTCTTTTATTTTTTGAACTAAAAGCTTCAACTTTCTCAAGCTGTTACAAAAAAAGCATATAGAGAAAAATTTGATCTTTAGTTTGTTGCTATGTTTAGGCCCAACCGGGTGGTGTATACTTTATGAAAATGTGTTTCCACAATAGCTTCGTGCGTGCTCTTACATCTTTGTATCGATCTGCATTAATACACCCAAGTGGTGCGAGCATATTACAAGAAAAGCAAAAATTTTAAATCATAATTCTTGGTGGTATAACTATATATAGCCTCGGAAACTTTTTTGAGGTGTCAAATTTTCTAACTTAATTAAAAGTTAATAACCCGAAGTCCAGTGATCTCTTTCTACGTTTTTCTCTTGTTATTCCATTCTTTAAATTCTTAATTATTTCACAATTATTGTGGTAGTTTAAGTTCTGGTGACTTTGCTTATATATATATTTGGGTCAATGGATTTATGAACCTTGAATATAAAGAAAGTTTTGAATTTACATAGAATTTTTTTACCAATACACTTAAATTTTACGAAAAATATCTCATTTCCTATATAGCTACTCAAACTCCAAATTTTCTTTGTTCGTTCTTATTTTCCTAAAAAAAATTATAAGTGGTTTTCAACTTTTAAAAGTCACAGTTAAAAAAACAATTAAAAGTCACAGTTAAGAAATAATTAAGTTAATTATAATCAAAATTTTCACAGCCAGTTCTCCAACCAATATATTACGCCCTAAATATATTGACTCGACTAATACGAATATACGAGCAATGATCATTTGCAATGTCCGTACACATATAGTTTCATATTTTGATAAAATTACGATCAAAGAAACTTTATGCATTGAATCGATGGTTTGTGGATGGAATCTATATCTTTATCCCTAAAAGTTGATTAGAAAGAAAAAATCTCTAAATATTGCTGAATTAGTTTAACCTCTTTAATTTTAATCAATTTAGGCTGTCGTGAAAGAGCCACTTGACTTCCTAAACACCGTCCGTATTATCATTTAACAAATAACAAAGGAAAATATAAAAAGAAAATTTACTTAAGATAGAAGGAGAGAGATAAAATAGAAACTAGGGCAAATAAATTAATGGAGAAATGTAACTACCAACGTCAATATTTTTTTTTTTTATATCTTTGGATCGATAAGGCCCGATCTATAGCCAATCCTTATTACGCGGGGTAACGCGATTTAGTGGAGCCGAACTCCGGTGAAAAAGGCGGAGTCAAATGGACTTAAGCACTTGACTAAAGGCACATCCCCAACCAACGTCAATATCTATCCCCCTCTTTTACAATTTAATACAATTTGCGTGTCACTTTCAAACCCTACGAATTATAAGGCAAATAATCGAATAAACCAACGGCTAGAAATTTTAACCGGGTTTTACTACAGCTTGATTAACAAAGTGAATTCCAAATAACCCCCTTGAGAGACTTCTTATATATATTAGAGTTCGAATCTTCTTATTCTCCACGACGATGACGAGCTCCTTCGATCTCTAACCTTATAATCGCATCCCATAAAGCAAAATCCCAAATCTTTTCTCCTTCTAAAACCCTAACTCTTGCGTTTCCCTGAAGTCAGATAATTGAGAGATTTGTTGCTATCTCTATTGTCTTGAAATTTCAAAGACCCATCAAATTCTCTTTTCACTGTCATCATCTTCGTCTCCTCCCAATTCGATCTCTGTCTCTGCTTACACAGTTGAGTTTGTTTTTCTTCCATTTAACTAAAATTTAACTCTTTCCATCATTCATTATCTATTTTTGTTGGGTATGTTCTCACTTAAAAAATTGATACATACCTACATGGCTACTACATGCATTTACGTGGAAGATTTTTTTTTTTTTTAAAGAAATTAAAATTTATGTTGAAGTTACGTATATATGTAAGAAAAATGTTTTTTTAAGTAAAAGGCTAGCTTATTAATAAAAATAAATCACATATCTCAAATACACTGATAATTAACAAATGAGTGTATAGAGTTCTTTTTTTTTATGAAGGGTGCATAGTTTTTTTTTTTTTATATATAATCTATGATATAGAGTTCGAGTTGATCGTTATATCTAGCCATCTATTGATCTACATATATCATTATTAGCTCTTCATTGGCCACTATAACCGCATTATTTTGTTTTAAAACAAAAGAAATTACCATTTCAGTGAACTACAAAAAACCCACTTGTTCACAACTTACCTTCAGATAAACTACTTTCACGATATTAAAAGGCTTAATTTACAATCCATCACAACGATTAGAGATAAATCCATTTCTAGTAGTCATCCAAAATCTCTTCTTCCTCCTCTTCTTTACCTTCAGCTTCTTTGCTGTCATCATTTGTTTTCTCAACTTCTTTCTCCTCAGCTTCATCAGCATCATCAGCTTCTTTCTCCTCCAGCATCATCAACATCATCAGATTGCTTCTCCTCATCTTACTCTTCCTCATTGCTTTCCAGTGACTTGTTATATTCTGCCTTTAGTTCAGCAGCTTTATCTAGGTAAACTTTCTTCTCATCCTCAGTCAAAGACATCCACTTTTCACCACCGATCTTTGCAGCATCCTTAGCAAATGAACCATTATGCTCTGTTTTAAAAGTTTTACGGAAATCATTCATGAAGATAAAGAAAGCAGTAAGTGGTCGTTTAGGCTTGTTTGAAGTAGAAGAGCTCTTTTTCTCATCATTGGTTTTTTTAAGTCTCTTTGGCTTAGGTCCATCAGCTGTTGCCTTCTTCTTCTCTGCAGGTTTCTTCTTAGCCTCTGCCTGTGTCTCCACAACTTGAGCTCTGATCTTAGCATCGAGACTGCAATTGTGCATGCTTATAAGCGCTACAGCTACACTCTTGTTACATCCTTCACAGAGAGCGAAAGCGCTTCCATCTTTAGCGCGACGTAAGGTAGTAGAAGTATTGTTGCTGCTAGTTTCTGCTTCGACTCTCTTCCTCTGCTTTGGTGCGTTTGAAGTCGTCGATGGTCCAGCCATTTCTCTTCCTTTGCTCGGTCTCGTAAGATTGAAAAATCTCAGTGAAAAATTTTCGTTTTCGATGCTATAACCGCATTAGTTTAATCAATTATTAGTTTAATTTATTTATTTTTTCTCCTGGATACTTAGTCAAGTATTAGTTTGATTTAGTTTAATCAAGTATAGTCCGTCAATTTTAATTTTTTAAGTCAGAGGAATCACATATGATTTTTTTCGACGAGATAATTACAATTGATTAGCATTTTTTTAAGTGTTAGCAACCGGAATTTTAATTTTTTTTTGGGACTCTTTATTTCTAAATATTTTTGTATCTTAAGCTAATTTCCCCCATTTCTCAATATCAACAATATATAGCTTAGATATTTGGAATCCTATACTAATATTTGGGAAGTACATCCTAAGGATCATAACTTAAATTTTGTAAGAATTTACAATATATGCCATTAGAGAATTTTAATCATAAAATTTATTCCATGTCACTAATATATATTAACGGGTCAACGGGTCAACGGGTTTAAAGATATTAAAAGATTTTGTTTATATAATTTATATAATTCATATAAATTATATAATTAATTAATTTATATATTAAAAACTTATTACAATTATAATTTATATAATTCATATATTTTCGATAATAACTATATTACATAATTAATATAATTCGAAATTGTTATATAGTAATCAATTCGAAAATGTAACACATTTAGTAAAAATGTTGTATACTAATATATAAGTCGAAAATGTTTTAGAATAATGTTATTGAAAATGTTAATGAAAATGATATATCATTGAAAACATTTTATATAAATTAAATTTATAAAAAATCCTATTTTCAATTATACTACTCATATAGTTCGAAAATGTTATTGAAAATATTATATACTAATCCATTATTTGAAAATGAAAATGTTATTCAAAATGTAAGATTCAAAATTAAAAATGTTATATCATTGAAAAATGTTATATAATATAATTCGAATTTTCAATAAACTATTATTTTCATGTATATAGTTCTAAAAAGGTATCATTCGATATATACTGAAACAAAAGTTAAAATTCGAATTCGTAATATAATGTCTTCTCAATTTCATCGAACTGTCTATTACTTTTGTGTAATGAAAGTTTAATTAATTTATTCTTTTTTTATTTGTATTTAATCACAGGAAAATGGAGATTTTTAACTCACTGATGATGCTTCTTATCATGGGTCAGTTCTTCATTCAACTTGGAGTTTCAGTTATCCCAGTTTCTACTATTTACGTAAGTACTAATAAACTCTCGGTTTTATTTATTTCTATCTCTCTTTCTTTTTTTTGGTTATACAAATGCAATTTTAAATTTCTTTTTGTCTTGAAAAAGAGTCCCGATGGAGATATGATTGATTGTATCAACCGAGCGGATCAACCAGCATTCAATCACCCACTTCTACAAAACCATATAATTCAGGTATTCATTAACTAAAATAAGATTCTTTAATATATATAATTTTGACAATATGTATACTTTTCTAAAAATTAATAATTTATTATTTGAGATAACTTGTGCAGGAATATCCCACCGGCATGCCACAAATAGAGAGAGACGTACAAAAGAATTGGCAAATCTGGCACGAGACGGGAGAAAATTGTCCAGCGGGAACGATTCCCATACGTCGGGATTTGGATCCAAAAGTTCCTCACAAAAAGCAGCCAAAGGTTCATGAGGTCACCAACAAAGCCACTACGGGACACAAGGTATATACGTAATACATAATTACAGAAATATTGGTTTCAACATCTTTATAATAAACAAAAAATTAACATCTATTGTATGGTAAACAGTATGCTATTGCATATATGCAAAACCGGCAAAAAGTGTACGGTACAAGGGTAACGTTAAATGTCTGGACACCAATTGTAGAATCGTCTTTCGATTTTAGCCTCGCACAAATTTGGTTGGCATCTGGGTCATACGAGACTGCGGATCTCAATACCGTAGAAGCTGGTTGGCAGGTATGATTTAGACTTTTAAAAACTTTTGTATTATCAATTTCTTTCAATATATATATTCGTATAATTAGTATGCAAATATGATAAACCTACTTTAATTTTTGTAGGTTTTTAGGTCAAGGTATAATGACAGTCAGCCGCGATTGTTTACATATTGGACGGTATATTCTCCGCCCTATCCATTTGCTCTTTAGAAGTATTAATACGAAAAAGCTATCCATTTTGCTTTCATTGTTACTGTAATGGTTAATCATGGTGACTTGATTACCTATTTTTACATGTTTATTAGACTAAGTACTAACTAGTTACTAGTTAGATGACTTGATTACTTATTGTTGCATATTTATTAGACGAAGTATTAATTAGGTGTATGACTTGATTATTATATTAACTAGTTATAAAAATTTGGAAATGATTTGACCAAGAAATATATCTTTGCAGGCGGATGGATATAACAACACCGGGTGTTATGGCCTCGACCGTCCTGGATTTGTGCAGACTAGCAGTACCATCGCCATCGGAGCTGCGATTGGTTGCACCTCAACATTTGTAGGCACCCCGTTTGACATGACGCTTCAGATCTGGAAGGTATAAAAGTCACGCATTAAATTGTATTATGCATAGTTAATACTATATGGTGCTATATTTGATGTGATTAATGTGCGACTTTAGAATAGATACACTTATTTAATATGTTCATATTTTCCATATTTTTGCTAACACATAACTAAAAATTGCAGGATCCGTTTTCAGGACATTGGTGGCTGGCTCTAGGTCCCAATATAGTGCCGATAGGGTACTGGCCGGCCACAATTTTCACGACCTTATCTGATCATGCGACGACGGTTGAATGGGGAGGGGAAGTATTATACCGGAACCTTTCGGGCGCGAACACGGTGGCCCAAATGGGTTCAGGGGAATATGCCGACAAAGGCTACGGAAAAGCGGCATATTTCTGCAATCTGAAGGTCGCAGAGAACAATCACACCCTTCTCCCGGTCCAAGATTTTAGCCTTCGAGACGATTACCCAAAATATTATACCGTTAAGAAGTCATCCAACCGCAACTGCGGTAACCACTTTTATTTTGGCGGACCAGGGCCTCAACGTTCGGGAGCGGTTCGGGGAACAGTAGTTTCTGCTTTTTGTTTGGTTTTTGTTTTTTATTTTATTTGAGTGTGTGTAGTTTTTAAAGTTAAGAAACTGGGTGTGTAAAACTACAAGATGTTGCTTGGTGTTGGTTTGCTTAGTTACTAAAAGATGTTATTCCACCGCTAGTTTCACTAGCGTCTGCGACTGATCGAATCAATTCGAGAAAAATGCGATTAGACTCACAACGTAATAATATAGGACATGCGATTTGCAAGACTCGAAACAGAACAATTAGAAAGGAGCTAGAATCATTTTTCTCATTCGCCATCAAAGTTAGAAGCTCCAGTTCCAAACCCAGAGACTCCATACCCACTCCTCCGATTTGCTTCGCCTCTGCTTCGTTTCGAAGCTCCCATCGACTTCATTCTCTACGACGGCAAAGGTCGGAGTGAAAGGGGGTTTTGTTGTCGCGGCGGTCTTCTGAGCTCGGTTCTCTCTATCCGGAAGGTCAGCCACGATTCGTTATTCTTGGGTTTCGGTCAGGACGTTGGACAGTTTCTTCAGTCCTTGAATCCGCCGGATTTTGGTTTCGATGAGAGGAAATTTCTCGAGGTTGACGGCCGCTTCTCCTCCGGTCAAAGCCTCGCCGGGAAAATCTTCTTTTTCCTTAGGTTATTTTGTAACTCCGGTTTTTGCTAAACCAATCCCTAATTCAATTGGATTATGATTTCCTTTTAGAGAAATTGCACTAGATAACCTAAAAAAAATAAAATTAAATATCTAACCTCTAAGAGCAACAGCGGCTCTACAACCCGTCCCATGGTATTTTAAAAAAAAAAAACCTCAGAAACCCTTTAATAAAGAAGAAACATTCCCACAAACGGGACAATTTCTCTCCGTCCTACGCGCCACGTGTTCGAAGGAGATTGGTCGCGTGTTTTTGTGAGGGCAAACTCGTTTTCCATTTTCGCGATTATTCTTTCACCTTCTCCGAAGAAAATCGACGGCGATTTTCAGGCGATTCACTCTCTAGGTTTGGTTGGATTCGATGTGTTTGTGATTGTATGTTTGTCTCAAAGTTTCGATTTTCGATTTGCGGATGTGTTTCCTCCGTCAGTTGCATCTCTTCGATTCCAATCCTTGAAATGAGATAAATCTTGTTCTCGATTGTTTTTGTTGTTTGTGGAATCAAAGAAGTGCAACGCGGCGGATCCGGCACTGCTAATCCTGCCTTGGCTCAGGTTCGTCGGATTTAATTGCAAGAATTAGTAGCTTGGAACGATTAGGAAGAAACTAATTTCGACTTCGGATTAGTTTCTTTAAGTTGCGGGATTGAAACTCGAGATTGATATATGTTGGTGTCTAGTGATGTCTGTTGATGGAAGAACAACTCTCTTATTGTTTCAGAAGCTGTACCAAAGCGGATTCTCGAGTTGATGAATGTTCCTGGTTTATGTAGAGAAAATGTGGCTAGTCATTTACAGGTTTGTTTTTTTTATTAATTGAATCTTTCTTACTTGACTCTCTATAAAGGTTTTGATTGAATCAATATAATTGCAGAAATTCCGATTGTACTTGAAGAGATTAAGCGGTGCAGCTTCGCAGAGTAGACACAGAGTCTATCAAAAGATATGAAAACATTCAAGCTCTGGTTTCCTCAGGACAAATACATCCACAAACATTAGCTGCATTGTGTGGTCAACCAATAGACAATCATCTCTCTGCTAGTTTTGGAGTTTGATTCCTAATGCAGAACTGATTCTCTCAAGATTTATTAATTGGGTTCTGCATTAGGAATTGGGTTGATGTTTGATGCAGAACTGATTCTCTCAAGATTTATACGGATGAGGAACTCACATAGATGGCTATGAAAGAAGCCTTTCCGGTGGGTTCCCAAGTCGTTTATTGATTTATTTTCTTCTTTAGCTGTCTTTGAAGTGTGAGAACTTGGGTTTTGATGAGGTTGGTTCTTATTTTATTACGGGAAGATGACCTTTCCCAAAAGGAGCTCGAGCAATCTTTAAACGCTTCTCATCAGTAAGTATCATTTCTATATTTATGTGTTTTGAAGATATAGTGGTTCTTCTTGGTTAAAACGATATGGCATTGTAGCTTTCGATGGTTGTTTAAGTTTTTTTTCATAGTCTCATTTAGTTCTGATTCAGCCGTGCAAGGCTCCAATATATTTATTAACTCCTGTTTTAGCTTTGTTATTCTTGCAATATGTAAGATTATAGCTTGTGGTCATGATCAGAAAGGTTCGAGAGACAAAGTAAGGTTGACTTTAACAATTGTTGAACGATAACATGCAAACAGTTACCTCTTCTATCTCCTGCAGTAAAAATCCATCAGCTGGGAGGGCAAAAAGGAGGAGGACAGTAAACAATACTGAGGTACAGAAGAGGACAGAAAAGAAGAATGAGGTGAGTTTATGTAATATGGTCTTGGCATTGCTGGCGATTAGTTTCTTTTCGATAGCTATTTGTATTTTGGATGTCTTGATACCAAATTTACATGGGTTTTAGTAGTGTATTGTCTTGGTTCAACAAGGAATGAGGGTTGGCATAGTCGACTTGATGGCTTTGTTGCATTTTTTATGATTGATATGCTCATAATTTTCAGGAATCTTATCTTGCCAAACTCGAGCAGCTTGCTAAGCTCAAACAAAAGCAGGAGGAGGATAAAGCATATGTGAATTGACATTTTTTTGTTGGTTGTAAGCATCATTGGAAACATCTTTTGTTGTTGAATTGAACATTTTTTTGTTGGTTTCTATGAATTAAATTAAGTTTTGGTGAATTGAATTAAGTTTCTATTAATTTTTTAAATATCAAAATATTATTATTTTATTCAGAGGACCAAATGTGAGGGACACCAATGCTTATACCAAACTTAAGAAACTCTGAAAATAATCTTATTATATTTGAGGGACCAAAATTTGTCCCACATCATTGCTCATGGTCTAACCCCCCTATTCACTCTCTTTCTCTTCCTATCTCTCTCTACCTTCTTTCTAAAAATCTAATTTTTTTTTTTTTGGGTTATTCACCTAAATCACCCTTCCTTTTAGTCCATAAGCAAACAAAACTTTTTTTTTTTTGTTCAACAAACAAACAAAACTTAAAGATTGATAATTTCTCTACATTAATATTGGAAAAAATAAAATGGAAAATGATATATGTGTTAGAAATTTTTACGGTCCAAATCAATATCAAGTTGGTTAAATTCACTTTTCTATTATGTGAAATTAATAAAGACATAACACACCGGAAAGTAAAAAAAAAACTGAAAATAATTCAGAACATTATCCCCTAATCAAAAGTTTATAAATACATCAAAATTCAACGTCACTTTCATTGTTAGGAAAAAAAACATAAAAAACTCATATGCACTAAATCCATTTGGCTAAATCTCGTTTCTGAAACGTTTTTTTTTTCTTTTTCTCTTCTCTCCTCTCTCTAAAAAACTTTCAGAAAAAGTGTTTTTCTTTAATTTGTCGTCTAGTTAATCTGGCTTTTCCTGTCTCGAGTTAGTTGGGTCTCACGTCCGACATCACCAGCTTCTTCAGCGGTGGGGGTGAGATTTATGTCTGGCAGCGTCCGTTTTCATTTAAACAATATTGGCCGACTCAGTCGTATTCTTTTGAGTTTTGAGATTTCAGGAATTAATCCAATTTCGGCTCCTTATGGGTGGCATGGCATTTACATCACAATCTCAGCTCCACTACTAGCTTCTGGAATCAACCTGAAAAGGCTAGTGATTCTTGGAATTGGAAGTGTCTTTTAAAGCTGAGAGACTTGGCTGGAAATTTTGTCAAATGTACCATTGGAAATGGTAGAAGGGCCAGTTTTTGGTTTGATAACTGGACTCCTTTTGGTCCTCTTATCAAATTCATAGGAACTCAAGGCCCGAGGAATCTACGGGTGTCCTTGAATGCTAAGGTCTGTGATGCTTGTAACCAAGATGGTTGGTCTCTCGCGGACCCCAGGACTGAAGAATCACTGCGTCCCCATTCTTATCTAACTACCATTAGCCTGTCTTCAGTTACTCAGGAAAAAGACACTTATGACTGGGCTGTTGAAGGAAAAATTTACGCAGGGTACTCTTCCAAAGCTACGTGGGCTGTTCTCCGGCCAAGAGCTGCTTCTGTGGTTTGGTTCAGCTCGGTCTGGTTCAAGGGAGCCACTCCAAGGCATGCAATCACTATGTGGACTGCCAATCTTGATCGTCTACCGACAAAAACTAGCAGGTTGGGGGGGATGAACATTGATCCAACTTGTGGCCTTTGCTCTCTACATCTTGAAAGCAGGGACCACCTTCTATTATCTTGTGACTTTGCTTTGTTTATCTGGAATGCTGTTAGTTTAAGGCTGCAACTTCCTCAGATCTCCTTCTCTAATTGGTCAGAATTAATCGACTGGACAAGGACTAAGCATGTCAACTCTCCGCCAACTCTCTGAAAGTTAGTTGCACAAGCTGTCATATATTCCGTATGGAAACAGAGGAACAACCTCCTGCACAACCAGACTTATATCCTGCCTTCGCTCGTCTTTAAGGAGATAGACCGAGAGATAAAGAACTCCATCACTGCAAGACGACTCAAGAAGCGTTTCAAGAATCTCATGAGTCATTGGTTGCATTGACATAGACTTTCTATCTAAATTGTATTGCTTTCTTGTTTTTCTCCTTTTTGCCAAGAAACCAATGTATAGGTTGTAAAACCAAACTTTTCATATTATATGATATTTGCACTTTAGCAAAAAAAAAAAAAAAAAAAGGAACTTATTAGAAGATAAGAGCGAGAGAAGCTTGAGAGAAAGTTTGTTGAAAAAGATTCTTATTTCTTAAGAAAGTAAAGCTGTACAATTGTCAATATATACAAGTGTAGCTAAACTAAACCAGTCAAATAAACCGGAGTCTATCTAGACTAACTAAACCAAAATGCAAGTAACCGGTACAATCCAATAGTCCCCCTCAAGAGGAGGCAAATATATTATGAAGACTCATCTTGGATTGTAGATGTGCAAACTGATGAGGAAATAATGGTTTAGTCAAGATATCAGCCACTTGATCTTCCGTACGAACATGTAGCATTTTGATGAGACCTCTGTCCAAACGTTCTCGAACCGTATGACAATCTATCTCAATGTGCTTTGTCCGCTCATGGAATACCGGATTTGTGGCAATGTATATGGCAGCGGTACTATCAGAGAAAAGTATAGGAACTGACCTTGTGTAGACTCTTAAATCTGAAAGTAAGGTAGCAATCCATACCATTTCACATGAAGCCAAAGCAAGAGCCCTGTACTCTGCCTCTGCAGAAGATCTTGAAACTGTTGGCTGTTTCTTTGATCGCCAAGAAATCAAGGAAGAACCAAGAAACATTGTGAAACCTGTGGCGGAACGACGAGTGTCTGGACATGTACCCCAATCTGAATCAGCAAAACCTTTGAGAGTTAAGTCAGGATCTGATGAATAGAAGAGGCCTTGACCCACTGTCCCTTTGATATACTGTAAAACTTTGTAGACTGCAGTCAAGTGAGAAGTACGAGGAGCAGCAGAATACTGAAAAAGCTTGTTGACAGCAAAGGTGATATCAGGTCTGGTTATTGTTAAATACATCAAACGCCCTACCAGACTGCGGTACATTTCTCTGTTCTCAAGTAATTCACCATCAGTCTTGGAAAGTTTTGTATTGGGAATCATGGGAATGGAGGAAGGTTTACAAGCTAACATACCAGTGGAAGTGAGGAGTTCCAAGGCATATTTGCGTTGACACAAAGAGATACCTTCAGCATTTCTAGCTATCTCCAAACCCAGAAAATATTTAAGAGGTCCAAGCTCACGCAGTTTGAAACTCTGTTTCAATGTAGCCATCAGTTGTGTTGCAGCACCTTCAGTTGTGCTGGCAATAACAATATCGTCTACATAAACAAGGACTGCAAGAAACTCATTACCAGAACTGTGAATAAAAAGAATGTGATCACCATGGCCCTTAGTGAATCCCAGACTTAATAAGCATTCAGAAAACTTCAGAAACCATTGCCTAGAAGCCTGTTTAAGGCCATAAATGGATTTCTTGAGCTTTAAAACAGCATTCTTAGGCAATTGGTCCCCCTTACTGTCTGCATAACCTTCAGGCAATCGCATATATATATCTTCCTCCAAATCTCCATTCAAAAATGCATTTGAAATGTCAAGTTGATTCAAATACCATTTCTTGGATGCAGAGACCTTTAACAAAAACTTCACAGTGGTCATTTTAGCTACATGAGAGAATGTGTCTGTGTAGTCCAAACCCTCCTTTTGAGTGTAACCCTTCGCAACCAACCGTGCTTTATGTCTTTCAAGACTTCCATCAGCATGAAACTTCAAAGTAAAAACCCACTTGCAGCCCACAACCTTCTTCCCTGGGGGTAAACTTGCAATTTCCCAAGTATTGGTATTCTCCATAGCACCTATCTCCTTGTCAATAGCATTACACCATTCTTTGGATTTCTTTGCCTCAGTATATGATTGAGGAATCGGAATTTTAGTGATGTTATTGATGTATAACAAGTGTGATGGAGAGATTTGAAAATATGAAAGAGAAGAAGAAATACAAAACAATCATATGCATATGCATTATGTTTTTTTAAACAAAGTGAATTCTAAATAACCTCCTTGAGAGACTTCTTATATATGTATTAGAGTTCGAATCTTCTTATTCTCCACGACGGCCAAGGTGTTTGTAGACAAGGCCACTGGTATAAGCAAATGTTTCGGTAAGCTCTTGCATACCTTCTGTTGCTGCATGATTCATTAGTTATGACTCACAAGCAGCTGCTCAGAACGCTATTAATACAATGAATATATTTATTTCTTTCTTTCTCTCTCTTTTTTTTTGGTTACATATACAAATGCAATTATGCAAAGAAAGGTTAATTGTTTTGACTTTCTTTTTGTATGAAAAGAGTCCTAATGGAGATGTGATTGAGTGTATCAACCGAGCGGATCAACCGGCCTTCGATCACCAACCGAAGGAAAAAACGTACAGAAAAACTGGAAGTGTGGCACGAGACCGGAGAAAAGTGTTCGGCGGGGACGATTCCGTATGTCGGGAATTGGATCCGAACGTTTCCCACAAAAAGCATCATCCAAAGATTCCAAACAAACACCAGTTTTCCAATAGGGTCACTGTGGGACACAAGGTAATTATGGTTGTTAGGGTATATGTACTTTTTTATTTGTTTACTTATGCAATATTTGATGAAAAACACTTATAATAATATTGCAAATACAAATTCATAATTACAGAAATATGGGCTTCAACATCTTTAAAATAGACAAAAATTAACATTTGGGCCGAAAAGTTTAATAGCCCATGGTCAATGGTTTTGCTACTATCAGTTTACAATATCTAGATCCAAAAATGAAATAACATCCAACTTTGAAATATTACATACATGGCCGGTCCGACGATTTTAAATACCCTACGCAAATGGAAAAAAATTACCCTTTCTATGTTTTATGCAACAAAAATAATATAAAATTTTCATAGAAATATTTTCACAAAAGAGTTGTCAAATACATAAACAGATTTTAAGAAAAGAAAAAAAAAAACAGTAATACAAAATTATATTCTTTGTAAAAAATAGGTTTTTCTCAAAACAAATATTTCACTAATTAAATCATTAACAACACATATAATAAATATTTTTGACCTTAATAAATATTCTTTTAACTTAAAGCCTTCGAACATCTCGGTGAATACAAAGTCCAACAAAGATTCAACATAATAAGAAAAACTCTAAAATATTTTATTTTACATTAAAAAGTCAAAAATAATTTGCCTAAAATATGCCCTAAGCTATTGCTCTAAACCGGGCCTAATTACATAAATATGGGTAGACAAAAAAATTTAACATTTGGCCGAAGTCTGTTTTTTTTTTTTCACCCTGTCCATTTGATCGTTAGAAGTATTTTGTTTAAAATCTTAACCTTGAAAATATGAATTTTTTTGTCAATTTTTTAAAATATTTTACTTATGTTTTGCTTTTTTTTTTGGCTTATTTTTTGCTAATTTTTGCTTACTTGTGATCAATTTGTTTACTCTTTGATTATTTAAATTATTTCAATAATCATAACATATTGATAGATGTCTAGTCACTATAAAAATTTTGCATCAAAAAAGATTAGATTTACTGATTTAGAACAAGGTGAACAGATTATTACTCTAATTTTTTTCTTTGTCTTAATGTTTTCACTGTCATCAATTAGCTGACTTCAGGGAATTTCAAAGACTCATCAAATTCTCTTTTCACTGCCATCATCTTCGTTCTTAATCCGACCTTTGTCTGCTTAGTGCTTACACAGTTGGGTTTATTTTCTTCCATCTAACTAAAATTGACCTCTTTCAAGCATTCAACGTTTCATTCAACAAAAACTAAAACATGCAAATTAGTTTAATTTATTTTTTCTTCTGCTTACAAAAATAATGTCTGAAACCATTAATTATCCTCATATATGGATGAAAATGGTTGTAAGAAAATATATCATTGTTTTCTTACCTTTGCCTAGTGAGTTTTACCATTTTGGAGGTTATTAATCAGCAAAACATATATATTGAAAAATGACGAGAATACATTATAGTAAATAGATTGCGGTAAAATGGGCCATAAGCGTGAATGGAAATCTATATTTATGGAAAATCATTAAATCAAGTAACTCATCGCCATCGTAACTACTATCTTAATTAAGGAAGAGTTCAGTGTCGAACATGCGGTACACTTTAGTCCGTCAATTTTACTTCCAAAGATTTTTAAAATATTAGCAACCGAAGCTCTTAAACTTTTTTTGGTCACTCTTATTTCTGTAGATTTTTGTTTTCTTATATTCTTAAGATAAATTCCACCATTTCTTAATATAAATATTGTCGTCATTTTTTATGGTTGTGCTTTTAACTTGAGGGTTTATTTTACCAATGTATCGGCGTTGATGTTGGCAATGGTAGAAGCTGTAATTTTTGGTCAGATCATGGTCTACTCTAAACTTTGCAGGTTACTCCACATTAACAGAAACGAGGTTTATATGATCACTCGTATATAATCTGTTGAGGATCTACCATTATTTCACTAGATTCTGCCACAAATTGAATCAATACAAGAAAAAAACGACTAGATTCAGAGCATAATACTGTTTGGGCAATTTTTAACCGGTTCGTGTATGCACAGTTATACGGATTAACGCATGAAGATATATTTTATTCATAAGTAATCTTTTGTTTACATAAAAGTAAAACAATAGTAGATCATAATCCTCTAACAAGTATCAAAGGAGAATCTAGGTGTTGATCCGTTGGAATTGATACTTTTAGGTAGAATCGATGGAGTCGTCGTGTCGTTAGGTGATAAATCATCGCTGATTTATTTAGGCCGTGGCCATTGATTCTTCATCGTGTAGTTTTTTAGAAGCTTTTAGGATTTTCTCCCTTTTCTCGGACCTCTTTTTCTCCTTTAGAATTCTATATTTATAAGTCTCAATCCAAGCCTTTTTTTTGGATTATCATTAACATATATTTATCCTAATATCGAAAAGATAATAATTGACGTGGATAATACCGTAATATACGCTAATTAGATATTGATTTTATTTTACCCAACAAATACAAACCAGAAAAGAGACAAAATATGCGATTTACGTCATATAAATTACAAGACTCGAAACAGAACATGTAATGGACAAGTTCGAAAACAGAGTATTGAAACTCTTCAACAAACTAAACGGCAACCCCTCTTTTTCTAGGAAGATTTTTGTATTAGGATAAAATTCACAACAATACTAGGAAGGAAAAAAATTCTAGAAATGTAGAAGCTGTATTCAATTTTATATATATATATATATATTATAAGTCATAATAGACCAAAAAGTAAGTAGACTATAAAACAGTAAAAAAACATCATCATAATATAATCAAACGTCTATATATAAATACATCAAAGTTAAATGTTATTTTATAAGTAAAAAAAAAAGTCATAAGAATCCAAACATATATACAAAACAATCAAACGCACTATGTTTTTTTTTTTAAAATATTTGATTAAAACAGATATTAATATAATTTTTATTTTATTTTATTACACGATAAGAATTTGCCTCATAAGTCAAATGCTAGAAAAGTATAAGTACAATGTTTGAATAGCTTAGCCTTCGCATTAGGGACTAACGAGTTTTTTTTTTAGTTATTGCAACAACACCTTCTAGGATCTTTGGCAGTTGGGTTTGCACAATCTCCTCTAGCAAATCCTCTGTCATAACAGTCTTCAAAACATTTTTGCGGTCCGTACACTCCTTCCACACACAACTGGAAGCAATGATCATATGGGAATTCTTCGACCTCTTCACCTATACAAATTCACAAACAATATTTTGAAGGTTCTGAATACATGTGTTTGTATATATATATATATATATGAACACACAAGATCATTTTCAATTCTAGATGTTTAATTATATATATGTAACATGTCCAAACAATATTTTGAAGGTTCTGAATACATGTGTGTATATATATAGGAACACACGATCATTTTCAATTCTAGATGTTTAGTTATTGCTATAAAAATGGATCAATGTTAATTGGCATATAACAAACACAGACTTTTAAATATACCTGAGACCAAAATGATTTCGTTGAACAAAACTGTTAATATGACAATGTGAAAAAAGATCACCAGATTTTTTGTAGTACCCATGATAAAAGAAATTTTGTACAAAGTTAATGAGAAAAAAATGTTGTTAATTTTTTTGGCTCTTAAAGAAAAGACTATATATATATATATATATATATATCGTAATCTTGGGAAATCTAAAATTGACCCAATTTATTTAATTTTACTATTAAATAATTTTTAGATTTATGCTAAAAAAATATTATTTTGGTCAAAAAGTATTGACATTACTTATGTATTTCGAAGATATTGTCTGACTCTGTTAATTAACTATTTAATGAAAATAGATATTTGGGGTTCTAAAAGTTATCACAAATATGTATAATACTTTATAATAATATTAGAATCTATAAGACTTGTTTTAGTGCTATTATAAGTTATTTCTCTATATATAAAACATATCAAATTAATAAACGAATGGTAGGATATAAATTATAGCAAATTAAAGGTTATTTTATATTGTTTGTCAATTTAGTTTGCAAATCAAATTAAACTAATACATCTATCTTTTTAGGAAGATTTGACACTTGTAACTTTGTAAGTATGAGCGAGGTTAAGTTATTGCATATTTATTTCTATGAATCAATGTATATTGACTTAATGTAAGATTTTATTGCATAACCCAGTATGGTAGTATAATGGACAAGTACGAAAACATAGTATAACTCTTTAACAAACAAAACGACAGCCCCTCTTTTCCTCTGAGAGTATTTCCCATAGCAAAGCTTCTTACCATACTAGAGTCTTCTTAAATCTTAAATGAGTGTCTTTACTAATACCATTATTAGTCTCACTATATTTGTCAATATCCCTTCTTAATCACAGTTAGGGGTCAGCATTTTAGTTTGATTTCGAGTTAAATTTCATTCGGTTATTTCAATTTTAATAAAACATCAAGTCTCTAATCAAACTCATTTCGGTTCATTTTAATTTGGTTTGTCTTGATTCAGTTTGTTATTTAAAATAAATTATTAACAAAATTGAAAGAATGGCAATAAATTGAAGCAAGAAAAATAGAAATTTTATAATTGGGATAAAAAAAATGAATAGAATAATCAATCAAGAGGTAGGTATATGAAAATAAAATAAAAAAAGATATACAATATATACATATAACATGTGTAAGTTTATTCATTTGTTTCTTTTCATTTAAATGTTGATTGGTAATTTTTTATGTTTCAAGTTTGATGTTCGGATATTAGATCATTTTAATTACTAAAATTTTGAAGTCTTTTTTTATATACTTGAGTAAAATATGACACATCATATTTATAATATGTTTTATAACAAGTTCTATCCTATGAGCTTTTTTTATTAAAACAAATTTTTAACCAATATAAATGATACTAAAAATATGAATAAAACAACATTTATGCTAAAAAGAATTTAAAAATGAAAAATGATTGTAATTAATTGATTACATAGCCCAAAAATATATTAAAACAATCAATAAAAGTATATGCGGGGGTTATAACCTAGTCTTTAAAAAAAACCTTTAAAAAATGTCCAAATTAAACCAAGGGATATTAAATCAAGATCTAAATAAAAGGTGTTTTTCCTAATATAATATAGCTATGGGCCAAGCCCATTATTGACCCAATAACTATAAGGGTCGGCTCAAAGAGAAGCCAATACAAGTTTCGGAGCTCTGTGGCAGTGTGTCGGCTTTAAGTCTTTGAGCTCTCTCCTCCGTGATCAATCTCCGTGAATCGCCACTCTCTCGGTTTCAATGGCTGATCTCGATGTTCCTCCTCAAGTTCCTCAAAGTAAGACTAGAGACCTTGACAAGCTTCTTCTCCGTCATGGGAATCTCGTTGACCCCGGCTTCTTTCCCGGACCCGACGTAAACGCCTTTTTTCCTCAATCCCTTCTTCGGGTTTTTTCTGTATCGTTTTTGTGGGTTTTCTGAGATGAGTGTTTGTTTGTATACAGCTGAGAGATGACATAAGGGATTATGTGAGAATTTTGGTGGTTGGTGCTGGTGGATTAGGTTGTGAGCTTCTCAAGGATTTGGCTCTTTCGGGTTTTCGTAATCTCGATGTGATTGATATGGACCGTATTGAGGTTACTAATCTCAATCGTCAGTTCCTATTCAGGTAATTTTCTCCTTCTTTTGTCTCTTTGGTTTACCACTAGAAACCCTTAGAATTGATCCATTATGTTCCCTGTGTGTGTCTCTTGTGTGGTATGTTTGTGAAATTGTTAGTGGGAATTGAAATTTGGTTGATTCTGATGGGTCTTGTTGTTTTAGGCTTGAAGATGTAGGAAAGCCTAAGGCAGAGGTTGCAGCAAAGCGTGTCATGGAGAGAGTGAGTGGAGTGGAGATTGTGCCGCATTTTTCACGTATAGAAGACAAAGAGATTGAGTTTTATAGCGATTTTAATATCATTGCCCTTGGTCTTGATTCTATCGAAGCTCGCAAATACATCAATGGGGTTGCTTGTGGGTTTCTTGGTATGGAAATTCTTTTACCTTTAAACAGTCTACCCAAAACTCTTTATGCCTCGGCTTTTTGAAGTCCTCTGTCTGCTCATGTGCTTGTGAAATGTAGAGTATAATGAAGATGATACTCCGAAAAGAGAAACAATCAAGCCGATGGTAGATGGGGGAACTGAAGGTTTCAAGGGTCATGCTAGAGTTATCTTGCCTGGAGTTACACCCTGTTTTGAGTGCACTATTTATCTTTTCCCACCTCAAGTGAAGTTTCCGTTGTGCACTCTTGCAGAAACTCCTAGGAATGCAGCTCATTGCATTGAATATGCTCATCTAATTCAGTGGGAAGCGGTATGTGAATGGATTCTTTGTGTAGTCTCTCTGAAAGAGACTCTTCTTTCCTATTGAATATGTATTTGGTTTATTCATGGTAAAGTCGATTCTTCCTGCAGGTTCATCATGGAAAAACCTTTGATCCTGATGAGCCAGAACATATGAAGTGGGTCTATGATGAGGTTAGTCATTCTTTTACTTGTTTATGCTATGGTTTTTTAATAAGGGTTTATTTCATATTTGCCATTACTTCACAGGCTATCAGGAGAGCTGAGCTTTTTGGAATTCCAGGTGTCACATACTCTCTCACACAAGTATGTAACCATCCTCGCTTTTTCTTTGTGTTCACTTTCTAAAATTTCCAGTTCTCGGCTGAAGTACCGGTGACCGTTTAAACATGGACAATGAAATCCATATGCTAGTTGTTGTATTCATGAAGAAATTATGAGAAGACGATTGTTTTATTGTATAGGGTGTGGTTAAAAACATAATACCGGCGATTGCTTCCACCAATGCAATTATATCTGCAGCTTGTGCGCTTGAAACCTTGAAGATTGTGTCTGCATGCAGCAAAACACTTGTAAATTATTTGACGTATGGTTTATTTCTTTCTTTCTACCTTACTTGCTAGTGTTCGGAGTACAGCTTTTCTACTAAAAATTAAATATATGAATTTACAAATAATTCAATGTTGCATTTTGGTTGGTTTTCATTTTCGCAAGGTATAACGGTGGAGAGGGTCTTTACACTGAAGTGACGAAGTTCGAGAGGGACACCGACTGTCTTGTATGTGGTCCGGGCATTCTGATTGAGCTGGACACCTCAGTCACTTTATCAAAGGTCCTTCCTCTCGCATTATCATCTCATTGTCTTTTTAATACCACGATTATCTTGATTTTCATACTCATGTATTGCTTCATTCATGCTACATTATCTTCTCTGCTACTATCTCCATTGATGCATTTACTTTCATCCCTGTATAGATACGTGGCTGATATTTTGTATAGTCTTCTCGCCTTCTCCAGGCTTTTCTGTCCTTTTAGCTATATCTTAATTTACTCGTGCCAAAGTATGCGCTTTGTTTGTCCATGTAACGTCTCAATTCTTTACCATTTGCTCATGTTTTGTTTTTCTTTCTCCTAGTTCATTGAGATGCTTGAAGATCATCCGAAGCTTCTATTGTCAAAAGCAAGTGTTAAGCACGGGGAAAACACTCTCTACATGCAGGCACCTCCGGTTCTAGAAGAGTTTCACAGACCAAAGCTAAGCAAGCCGCTCTATGACCTCATGGGAAGAGTCCAGAAGGACACTATCCATGTGTTTGGGACAGCCCTAAAGAACAACGAGAAAGAGTCGTGCTCAACGAAGGTAAGAGTTGTTTTCAAAGGAGCCGATGGTGTTACAGACATGGATACAGCCATTGGAGCATGAATACACAGAGAAACCCTCTGATGGCAGCTTTTAGATCCATTGAGATAATTGGGCAGCTTGACTTGTCCAGTTCTTATTTTTGGTCCTTGTTTTGTTTGTTTTGTCGTTTATAGCTGTGATTGCAGAATTTTACTGCGTGATGAACAAAAAATGACTCCAAACAGACGAGTTTATATGATTTGTTCTTAAACTCGAAGATGTGACCTCTGTGACAAGAAAAAGTTTAAAGCCTGAAAAAAGATCAATCTGTGTCTGAGATTGTTTTCTTAATGGTTCATATGATCAGGATTCTACCTGCGATTTCAGATAAAAGGAGCTCTGAGTTCTGTAACTTAACATATAGAGTTAACATGAAATAGTAATGAGAAATTACATAAAACCTAACGTGTTTTCGGATTTAGCATTAACCAAAATGTGGTTATTAAAACCAGCCGGTACAAACGCCAATTGCAAGTTTTGCAACTACATTGTTCATCCGTTGGAGTAGTAGACGCCAACAACACCAAAATGAAACAAAGAGTCAAAAGACTATTCTCATTTTTTTTGGAAAGGCATTTTATGCATCACTTGTGGTTGTATTTGTTGGTTTAAACTTATCTTTTTATATTTCTTTTTATCTTCTTCTATTTGTGGCTATACTTGCTTGCACTTTTCTTTTCACTAGATCATAGAGACTTTAAAACTAGTCTTTTGAAACGTAGTATGGGTAAAGAGATAAGGTAGTTCTACGACTTCTTTTGTTCATTATCACCATTGAAAGGTCAAGAGTTGGGAACATGCTATCAAAAATCAAAGACCAACAAAATGAGTAAACATCAAATTTTCATAAAGAATAGTGATATGTCAAAAGAAAATAGATATAATTGTTTATGTATAATAATATATAGACCATCAAGCTTTCACTTGGGAAATCGATTTTATGAAGTAGGATTGGTGTGTGACCCTACTTCACTCAAACACTATCCTCAAAACCATATCATATCAATGAGTTATATAGATTTTCTCTCTCTTTCTCTTTCCCAAATCCAAATTGATCATTGTCCATTTCCTCAATTGCCAACCACAAACTGTCTTCGGATGTGGCTGTTCGAGGATCTTATAGCCATAACAAAGATTTCCTTAGGCCCTATCAAAGAGAGTTTTTTTTTTTTTGCCATGATAGTTCTTGCATCCTAAATAAGTGTTGGTTCTCTTCAGTTCTATTGGTAGTAATTTGGTAAAAGCTATATCAAAGTTTTTGGTTAATATGTGACACATCTAATGATGTTAAATGTAACAAAAACAGAGTGGATATGGGTTGTGTGTGAACTTTGATTCTATCTTTAAAAAAAATGTAACAACTGGATAACATCAATGCACAACCTCCTTCTGTCCTTCATGTTGTGTTGAGTGGGGACTTAGCCAGATTAGATTTACAATTGTTAAAAAAAAGTTTCTTTCTTTTCTCTGGCCCTACTCTCCCACCCACATGCCCTTCCCTCTCTCTCTCTTAGTCTCTATATCTCTCTAAATGCCAATCTCTTGCCTATTTATTTGACTCTTTCAACATTCCCTCGAACTCCACTTGAAGCAAACCCAATAAAAAACACACACACAAGACTTGTCTTACAAAACAACCAAGTCTCAAGAAACTTGGAAAGCTAAGAGCTATGGCTATGGAGTTAGAGCTTGATGATGATGTCTTCTTTGCAGACATAAGCAAACAAATCTCCCTTCTCATCATGGATGAAGATGAACACTTAAACCCTGTTTCTCTGTCTTCCTCCTCCTCCTCTCTCTCATTCCAGGTTTGTTCCTCTGTCCACACCCTTTCTCTTTCTCTTTCTCGCTCTCCATCTCTAACTGTGTTTCTTGAATCTTTGTGGAAACAGGGTTTGTTCAGAGGAGGTTACCAAACGGCTCCATATATGTATCAACAAGAACAGAGCAAAGGGACTGGTGTGTTCATCCCTAAATCGTCTCAGCCTAGAAGAAGACCTCATCATCATCAAAAGCAAGGAAGGTATAGTTCCTTCAGCGCCAAGCAACAACACTCTCTTCATCAAAACAGACAAGAGTATCATCAGCAGAATCATGAGAACTCAAGAAGTACTGTCACCACTCACAACAACAACAACAAGAGCAACATGAACACTAATGTTCATGCTTCTATCCCAGGAAGAACCTACAGAGATGCATCATCTATCTACACCTGATTAATTTTAACAAATATTCTTCTGTGTGATCAATTCATATAATTTTAAATTAGATGCATAAGATTGATTTGTTTGTAAATTCAGCGAACAATAAAAGGATTATTGTATAAGGAAGGTCTTGGAGATATGTTCCAAGTTTGTTCTTGCTTTTATGTAACTCTTTCTTGTCATTTTAGAGATGCACTAACTTTTCCTCCATTTGTAATCTTTTAAGGATTGAATGAAAATCAAATTTGTGCCTTTGTTTTTCGTTGATTACTACTAGATTGATAGAGGAATGTGTAAAGACAAGCCCCATGTGAGATTAGCAAATGTTCCATGTCTCTCTCTCTCTCTCTCTCTCCAATCAATCAATATCTTTGGGACATCACAAGAGTTTGCCACACTGTCTGAATATATATATAAAAAAAAGTCAGATCTAAAGAGGTCCAAAAGACTGTCACAAGCTCACACACCTTCTGTCCTGCCACTCACATGCCAATCTCTCTCTCTCTCTCTCTCTCTCTCTTTTTATATGCCATTAGTATTTCTAATAATAGCAAAACTATATGATGACACTTTCCATTAAAATCACTTGATTTTTCCATAATATACATCACATATTCACATATTTTCTTTCTTTCTTCAGACAAATTCAATGAAGACAAAAAAAAAAAATAATGCAAATATTCAAAGGCGCAAAAATCAAAAGAAAGTAATAAAAGCCTACATATAGACAGACTCATTAACATAACTAAAGAGTAATCAAACTTGTAACAAACAAAGATAATATAAGGTTAACTTATAATATCAATCAACAAACCATGAGAGCACCAAAGTTTTTTTTTTTTTTTTACAACGAATAACGATTATACTACTCAAACTTGAAAGTACCAAAGTTAAAATATATTGAAGAAGATTCCACTACAACATTCTGTTGATTATTGGCTTATTGCTCTAAAATATTCATAATTTATGATATAAATGGCGGTGGATTCAATACAAGATTCTTTTCCTTAATTTAGTAAATAATAGTTTGTCCAAAAAAAAAATCAAATAATAGTAAGATTCCTTAATATTTCGGTGATTTAATTAAAAATATTTTCGTTATGGTCTTAATTTTCTTCGATGAGCCAATAACCACCGAGCTTTTGTAGCGTTTCGTTTCAATGGCGGCAATTTCTTCTCTCTTCCTTTTCTTCATCCTCTTCCTCGTTTCTCTCCTCATCATCTTAGCTTTCATCGTACGGCCAAGATCCGTCAAAATTCCCATCAAGTCCCGTCACGTATTCATCACCGGTGGATCAAGCGGAATCGGACTCGCTCTCGCTCACAGTGCCGTCTCCGAAGGCGCTAAAGTCTCCATCCTCGCCCGTTCAACTGAAAACCTCGCCGAAGCCAAACGATCCATCCAGCTAGCTACCGGTGTTGAGGTCGCTACGTTCTCTGCCGACGTTCGCGATTACGACGCCGTTTCGAAGGCGGTTGACGAATCGGGGCCGATCGATGTGTTGATTGTTAATCAAGGCGTGTTTATTGGGAAAGAGCTTGAGAAACAGAGTCCTGAGGAGGTTAAGTTCATGATTGATGTGAATCTGGTTGGGAGCTTCAATGTGATTAAGGCTGCTTTGCCTGCTATGAAAGCAAGGGAAGGTCGTGGTCCTGCTTCCATTTCTCTTGTGTCCTCTCAAGCTGGTCAGGTTCGTCTCTCACTCACTCTACCGCTGTATCATAGTCTCAGAGTAGATCAAGGAATTTAGGCATTGTAACTAGCACACTTGATTAGTCATGTGAAGCCTTTTTGATAGATTGTGCAATCAAGTCAAGTTTCTATTGATTATGGTCACTGCAAGAATGCAAGAAAACAGATTTAGCTAGCTTGAGAATTATGCGGTTCGAGATTTCGAGGTTAACTTTAATGCAATGGAGAGAGATCAAGGGTTTTAAGTTCAAACTAGATGACCTATCCATGGTTCTAGGCTCTAGTCAAGATTCTCTCAACTTTTCTTCCAAGAATTTAAACCAAGCTTGCCTACAGTTTGGTAATTGTTAAATTAAGTTTGTGAAAATGGAAGCACTTGTGGAAGTGGAGAGATGCATTTTTGCAGATAGACTTTGTGATGTATCGTGTTTTTTTTTTTTTTATGTTTTCAGGCAGGTATCTATGGTTACACTGCATATTCAGCAAGCAAGTTTGGGCTTCAGGGTTTAGCGCAAGCATTGCAGCAAGAAGTTATTTCTGATGACATTCATGTGACTCTCTTGTTTCCTCCTGACACTGATACACCCGGGTTTGAAGAAGGTAAACAATGACTCTTTTCCTTTTTTTGATAAATTTATTCATCATGGGTATGTAAGATATGACATACTATACCACATGAAAACATAATCTAGGATCGTGGATTGACACTTAGACGCCTCGTTATACTGAGTGGATGACTCAATTAACTTCCAGATTAGTTGCCAGATCTGGTTCAGTAAGAGTTGTAGACAGACTACATAAAAGTGTATATAGTCCTGAGTTACAAAACACATTAAGAGTAAAATTTTACTCCTACTTGTGTTGTCTCTTATCTTGGTAATCATATATCACGTGAAAAAACTGCGACTGAAGTATAACACAATTGATTGCTGCTCTGAGTTCTTTTGTCCAGATATATATGTATGTTTCAGATTCGTGGTGAAAGATTAATTGATTTTTGTTGTTTGGGATCTTAGAACTGAAGAAGAGGCCAGAGCTAACTTCAATCATAGCCGCATCATCTGGCTCAATGAAAACCAATGAAGTAGCCAAGATATGTTTTGATGGAATCAAAGCTGGAAAATTCACAGTGACATGCCATTTTATTGGCTTCTTACTATCAATTGCTAGCACCGGCATGTCCCCTCAGGGATCGTTTTGGCTTGCTCTCATTGAAGTTATGTTCGGTGGTCTAATAAGACTCGTCAGCTTGGTTTTCCAGTGGCAATGGTACAAAACCATAGAAAAGTGGAGTAAAAAAAAAAAACAAGTAAATAGTAAGTTAGATTAGGTTATCAAACTAATTATTTTTTCGTATGAACCATTATTTCTTTGAAACAGGTTTATGATCTGTAGAGGGTTCATAAGAAAATATTCATGACATGTACTATGATCAGTCTTGTTTGTACAGTGAACAGGTTCATGTTTTGTAGTTCCAACTTCGGCTTTTTTTTGTGTTTGTAATTTGAATATCATTAACATTATGCGTCTACGACCATCAGAAACTAGCAAATTAGTCGACAATAAAATTGTAAATTCCAACAAAAAAAAAAGCATTAAATTTGACATGTAAAAGAGTTTTTTATTTAAAAAAAAAAAAAAAAAATCGTTATCCTTCGTTGCCGATTTCACCTTTGCTCCGGAGGTGCTCAAACTCAAAAATGGCGTCCCAGCTTCTTAATGTTCCTCATCTCGCTTTCTTCCCTAAAATCTCACCCTTTAATCCTCCCCTCTTCTCAACACTAAAGCCCAGTTTCTTCCACTCTACTTCCACTAGCAGAGCTCTCAAAACCTCCTCCAACTCTCGGATTATCAACCTCCAAGCCGTCGCCGAAACTAGCTCTGAAATCGAAAGCAATAGTGCTACTGACACAGCTGCTTTGACTCTACGTAAAATCTGCCAAGGTTTTGTCCCCGAGCATATCTTGCACAGGCAAGCTTCGTTTCACAACTTTTTTTTCTTCCGGTGAAATTCGAAATTTGTGAAATAATTTTGAAAAAACTGTGCAGAATGGAGGAGATTGGGTTTATCTCTCCCACGGATATTCAAAGAGAAGCTCTTCCTACTTTGTTCACAGGCCGTGATTGCATCCTCCATGCTCAAGTCCTTTCTCTAATCCTTATCCTCAATTTATGTTTCTCTCTTTTTGATTATCTGTTTTGGTTAAACATTGGTATGTTTTTGGGTAATCTTAGACAGGTTCAGGAAAGACATTGACTTACCTGTTACTCATATTCTCTCTTATAAATCCTCAACGATCTTCTGTGCAAGCTGTTATTGTTGTTCCCACTCGGGAGCTCGGTATGCAAGTAAGTGTACTAGTAGGCATTGATTTTTAATCTTCATTCGCCTTGATCTTTTTTATGACATGATTGTAAGTGATGCTTCTTTTGGTTTAGGTTACAAAAGTTGCTCGAATGTTGGCTGCAAAATCGGAGATCGATGTGAAAGGGTGTACGGTAATGGCTCTTTTAGATGGAGGGACGCTAAGAAGGCACAAAAGCTGGCTAAAGGTTAGACTTTGACATGGCGGTTTCTTATTAACTCGACCATATTAGGTTACTCAAAAGGTTTCTTGATCTTTCAGGCTGAGCCACCAGCAATTTTGGTCGCTACGGTAGCAAGTCTGTGTCACATGCTAGAAAAACACATATTTAGACTTGACTCGGTGAAAGTTCTTGTTGTAGATGAGGTAAAAACTTTCTCAACTTTCAGCTTATTCTCCATAAAAAATGATTGAGGCTGTTCTGCATTTTTAACATCATGCTCGGAACATTTTCTCACCCAGGAATATATTTGAATGGTCACTTGATAGGTTGATTTCTTATTCTACTCATCGAAACAAGTCGGTTCTGTGCGGAAGCTTTTGACATCGTTTTCTTCATGCGATAAACGTCAGACAGTTTTTGCCAGTGCTTCCATCCCCCAGCATAAACATTTTGTGCATGACTGTATACAGCAAAAGTGGACAAAGGTTAGCTTATGAATGATTCTGTTGCTGTCAACTATGTTCGGGATTTGGTTTATGAATCAAATGATTTGTGCTGCTGTAGATACTACCCAAATGATAATTCAAGTCAGTTGTCTTCTTCTTTTTTTTTTTTTTCTGCAGAGGGATGTTGTCCATGTTCATGTTAGTGCAATCATGCCCATGCCGTTGTGCCTTCTTCACAGATTTGTTGTAAGACATAACTTGCTCCACTTCTTTTTTCATGATATGCATCTATTAGTACATCTAATCTCTACTTTGGCAGATGTGTGAGAAGACAAACAAGCATCAAGTACTGCGTGCCTTGTTAGAGTCTGATGCACCTGAATCAGCTATCATATTTGTAGGGGAGCAGGTATTGGAAACCTCTATTTCCCTTTTTACTTCACTTAATCTAACCATTTTAACACTATTTTCTGTTTCTTCTTTTCAGTCTGAGAAGTCAAAAAAGGCTGGAAATGATCCATCTACAACTCTACTAATGGAATTCCTTAAAACTTCATATAAAGGCTCGCTGGAGATCCTCCTACTAGAGGGGGACATGAATTTCAATTCACGAGCAGCTTCACTAACAGTACGTGGTTCTATTTCTGTGGATAATTATCCTAGATGCTTACTTTTTATTACTAACCTCCATGATTTCCCATAGGAAATCAGGCAAGGAGGAGGGTTTCTTCTTGTTTCTACTGATATTGCAGCAAGAGGGATTGATCTACCAGAAACAACTCATATCTTCAACTTTGATCTCCCACAAACGGTTACAGATTATCTGCACCGAGCTGGAAGAGCTGGTCGGAAACCCTTTTCTGACAGGAAGTGCATTGTTGCTAATCTGATCACGGCAGAGGAGAGATTTGTCTTGCAAAGATACGAAAATGAACTTATGTTCAGCTGCGAGGAACTGATGTTGTAGGTACAGTCTTAAATATCCAGTACATAAAATTTTCATATTTGCCTTTGTTTCCTCAATTTTTTACACCATCAGTGCTCCTAATGTAACTAACTAATTACATGGGAAGAGTATATGAGAAGTGTCATCAATCATTATCAAATAAATTTCTTTAATAATTTAGTTTTTGACTTTTATGCTCTGCATTCTTAGTTCTCGCAATTAAAACTTAAAAGTATCATATCACAACTCCATCTTTAATTATTGAATTCTTCAAGATAACTGTAATGCCAGATCTGATGTAAAATCCATCGGATGACCTATCTGCTTCTTGTATTCCCTGCAAACCGTCACATTAGTGGAAATGAGATAAGCTAAAGAAGAATTGTATGTCTGATGGGTCCCTTCCTTTCTTAAACAAAATAAAACTTTACCTCTGAGTTTGCGATGATTACATTCTTCCCGACTCTAGCATTCTTGTCTATTATGCATTCTCTGTAGGGAAAAGCAGAAGGCAGGAAAAAAGGAATGAGGAAACTTCACAAATGAAAACTGTTTCTAAGGTAAACCATGTGAAGTTGATAGTTAGTCTTACTTAATTTTTGTGTTCTCTCCTATTCCAATGGGAACTTTTCCCTCAGCAAGTAGTGATGCAACTTCTGCTTCAGTTTCGTAGTAATCTGCCCCAAGCATCACAGTGTCCTAGAGTTTCCATAATTTTAGATCATCATACAGTCTTAGAGTCTACTCCTTTCATTATGATTTAGAATAAGAAAGTTATGCCTACCTTCAACTGAACATTGCTGCCTACTCTGGATCTAATCCCTACAATGCTGTGCTCAATCAAGCAGTTGGTTAAGAAGCTTCCATGAGAAATGATCGAATCAACGAGCTTCAAATGTAATGAACTTAAGAGTTAATCCTGAAGAAAGTGGACCAATGCCGAAATACATAAAAGTAGAAGGAAATACCATGGCTGGTTTTACTTACCTTAGAGTTGTCTATTTTTGATGGTGGCAGGTTTCTCCTTGATGTATAAATTGGTTTCGCCGCGTCGTAGAAACTAAATGCCCCGGGCTAAAAGGTGTAGACGTAAGTGATATTAATAAAACAAGTATATAGATTGTGAACAATATCTTGGAAATAGAATTGTCTTGGAGAATATTGGTCTTTACATGCTCAGTGAGGGCGAGGTTTGCCTCAAAGAAAGATCTTATCGTTCCTATATCTTCCCAGTAGTCATTAAAGAGATAAGCCTGCTCAAAAGATCTTGTTATCATCCCTTGATATAACATTGGACGTAAATGTGTGCTTAATCTGAATGTTACTGACATTCACATAGAATTCTTTAGCTGAGAAGGGTATAATCTCTGATCCAAAGTCGTTTGCCGTGGGGAAACGCCATCTGGTTTCAAAAACAGTTGCAAGATATGATATTTGTTTTGCAGTGTTCTAAGAATGCAGGGACAGAATATAGAACTAAAGGTGTTACCTCAAGAGATTCAACAGTATTTCTTTCTTGAAAACATAAACTCCCATGGACGCTATGTATGGTTTCTTTTCAGCTTCCTCCTTGGAAAGTCCTAAAATAGTTGTGTCTACTGCCTAAGGATACCCCGAGGTTAGAATAATCTTCAGATTTTGTTCCGAGATGAGATATGAAGTTTTCAACATACCATTGCTTTCAGTTCGTCTCCTCTAGGTTTTTCACTGAAAGAGATAACTCTTCCTTTGTCATCTATCTTCATAAGCCCAAAATCTGAGGCACGTCTACCATGTAACACAGAAAGAGACTATAAGAAATCATGATCTTTGATTCAGCAGAATAAGTTTGGGAAGAAATGTAAGGATCTATTTACTCTTTTGCATTCACCTGTCATCTATTGGTATGCAGGAAATGCTTATATCCGCGCCACTCTGCCGATGATCCTGCAGATTGAATTTCATGGCATGAGTCTCCGAGAGTAACTAATTCTTGATGAAGGACATGGGCTCAAGTAATTTTGTCTCACCTGTACAAAATCCATATAATCCATCCTGTAGAGGTGATCTCCAGAAAGGATCAATACATCCTCTATGTCCTTACTTCTTGCATCCTATGAAAAGAATTGTTGAACTGCTTGTTTTTGATGTGATGATAAGCTATTTAAAGTCTGATTTCTACCTCGAAAAGCCAATGGAATTGCCGAACCGCATCTGCTGTACCTTGGAACCACCTTTTACCAGATTCTCCTGGCGTTTGAGTGGCCGCAAGAACCTGAAAACAATTGCCTCAGATGCATCAAACCAGTTGGCTCGTAACGGATGATGAAGACAGAATATCAAACCTCAACATAGCCATCTCCAAAGCCAACTCCATTGGAGTTGTAAGCACGGGCTAAATGCCTGTTCAATGATGCTGAGTTATATTGTGTGAGTATGTAGACTTTGTTGATTCCGCTGTTAATACAATTGCTCATTGGTACATCTATCAACCTATAGGCTCCCCCGATAGGAACCTGCAATACACGCATATTCCCGATTAATTATACATTGTGCTGCAGGAAATTCAGCAATATGGGAAACTTTGCAACAGATAAGCAACTAACAGCAGGCTTGGCGCGGCGTTTTGTGAGAGGAAAGAGACGAGTTCCTGCTCCACCTCCAAGAATAATGGAAGCAACTGTCCTTGAATCCCTTTTCTCAGTCTCAAGTTCGTGTACCTGGAGGTGGTTGACATAAACAAATGCAGTGGCAGGGCACTTTTGATTAGCTTGAAGATCGAAGAATAAGAAGCAGAACCAAAAAAAGGTTGAAACTTGTTACCTTACTCTCTCCAGCTACACTATTTAGAGACATTGAAATTCTCTTCAGAGAGAAGTTAGAAGAAGATCGAAGACGAATGTTTGGAAGCTGAGCCGAGTTGAGCTTCTTCCCCATGAGCTCACCATTGCAGAAGCTGCCAAGCTTAATGTGCCTAGTCAAGCCCGTGGAGCTACTACGTATGCAGCTCGGGGCAGAGAAGGAGATTCTGCAGTCAGCAGAGACCCCCATTTTCGCAGGAAAGATTGTCTCTTGAAGAGTTTGAAGAGAGGGGAAGATAAAAGAGAAGAGAAGAGAGTTGCATGAAATTGCATTTTAGTTGATTTTTGGAAGGATTTGGTCCACCCTATCTTCATCAAGTCACATACACCACCAGTTTTTTTTTTATTTTGTATTCAGATTTTAAGACATTGCTCTTTTGTCTTCACCTGTCTTGCAATGGCATATTCTACTAAAGACTTATATGTCAAGAAAATTCAAAATTGAAAGATATTTTTTTTTTCTTAGAATATACTTTCGCAATTTAGCTTCTTCTTATCTCATGCCAACAACATGCCATGCCAATATAATTAATGGAGATAGTGTAAGAAAGGAAAAAAAAATCAAGTTTTTTTTGCTGAATTTAATTTGTATTTCTGAAAAATAAATAAATTAAGAATAAATGTTTGTGAAATTCAACTAATTGTGTTTGAAAAAAAAAAAAATGGTAGAACTTCTATCCCTATCAAATGGCCATAATTTCCCTCTTAAATTTGGGTGAAGAGAAAAATATCCCATTAAAACGACATAATGAGTGAGTTATAATTGTCTGAGTGGCAATGGATAAGAAAAACTAAACCGAAGCAACGACTTTTGAAGAGTCAGTCAATGGGAAGGAACTAAAAATCTCTCATAAATAATAGAGAGAAGAAGAGAAAAGATTCATCACCACCAAACAATTAATCATCAAAGAAGTAAGAAGAAGAAGCTCTACAACAATGGCGATTTCCAAGCTCCATCTACTGTTTCTTCTCTCAGTCTTTCTCTCCCTTCATCGTCCTGTTCTTTCCAACACCGGTAACTCTCCCATTTCCTTCAAGATCTTCTTGATTTTTCAATTTATGGTTTCTTGATCTACATCTTTATCTGAAAAGTTGGTTTTTTTGTTTTTGTTTTGGTGTTCTGTTTTTGAAATCCACAGATGGAGAAGAACTTCTTTTTAAAGTATTCAACCAATACAGAACATCAGTAAACCTCAGAACCTTAACAAAGAACAAAAACGCAGAATGTCTCGCAGAAGAAATCGCAGACCAATTAAAGAACCAACCCTGCACAAACACCACTGGCTCAGCTTCAGTCCCTGGAACAGATCCTGGAATCCCAAATTTCCCTAACCTCCTCGCTAAATGCAGCCTCAACACAAACGTAACCAGAGACGGTTCGATAATGCAAGTTTGTGCTCCTAAGCATGATACGACCCCTGACTTGAGCAGTTTCGCCCTTGTCTTAACCAAGAACTTGAATGATTCTAAGTTCACTGGAGTTGGTATTGGTTCTGATGATATTTGGCTTGTTGCCGTCCTCACTACAAACACACCAGGTGGTAGCTATTCTCTGGCCACTAACTCAGGAGCTTTTGCATTCGGAGTTAATGGCCTTGTTTCTTCAAGTTTGTTGTCTCTTCTCTTTTGTTTCTTCATGTTTTGAGTCCCCACTTTTGGTGTTTTAATTTTTCCATGTTTTTAAGTCACCACGTTGTCTTTGTTTCTTAATATGTTGTTATTATGGTGAAAATTTTTAATAAGAGAAGAGAGTTGCATGCGAGTTACATTTTTTAGTTGATTCTTGCAAGGATTTGGTCCACGCTATCTGATTTTTATTTTATATTCAGATTTTAAGACATTGCGCTATTGTCTTGATCTGTCTTGCAATGGCATATTCTACTGGAGGAGAGACTTATCTCAAGAAAAAAACAAAATTGCCGGAGAAAGTAGTGTAAACATCTTCTTTCCTTGGAATATAATATCGCAATGTTGACCAAAATATATATATATATATATATATATATATATATATATATTTTTTTTTGCAATTTAGTTGAGTATGATCATAGGTGAATTCATCAAGTATCATTAAGAATTTTTAGTATTATTTATAATATTTGTTTAATATTTTTTTTTCTCCTGCTTTTGGCAAACGAGACCAATCAGGAGATGTTACGTCAGATGATACTAGTATCAAAAGTATCACGGGATTAATACTGATCAGACCCATTCTAATTGTTTTTTCCATATAAAAATAATTTATGGGCTTGTGATACTTTAAAAATATCACTTATATACATGGTCTTATCTTATGCCATGCAAATAATGGAGATGACGTAAGAAAAGAAAAAAATTCAAGTTTTTGCTGAATTTATTAGTATTTCTGAAAATATAAAATAAACGAAGAATAAATGTTTGTTGAATTCAACTAATTGTATATTTATTGTGAGAGAGAAAAAAAAAAGAAAAAAAAAACTGGTAGAACTTCAATGATTATATCCATATCATTATTAATCAAGTATAGTTAAATTTCCCTCTTAAATTTGAGTGAAGAAAAAAACATCACACTAAAACGACATCGTTTGGTAAGTTAGTTAATTGTCTACGTGGCATCAAGTCGAGTGGACAAGAACTAACTAATTGTTGTAAACTTATTGTTTTTCTATGTATTCATGAATGAAATTCGTTACATATATATACATAATGAGAGAAGACAAATCCTCATTGGGTTAGTAAACCCTAAAGCCCAAAAGCCCACTAAGTACAATATAGGCCGTCATAAGGAGAATCTTCAAGAACATGGGCATGGGCCTTCTAGGACATGGACATGGGCCTTCTAGAATATGCATAAGGTCCACGGTTATGGAGTCCATCCAACATGTGGTTTATAACACTCCCCCTTGGATGACATAACCGTGTAGATGCCAAAGGATCTCAGTAATACGCTTGGGGATGCTGCCTCATTAAAACCTTACCAGGAAAACCCATTGGGACAAAACCATGGTTAAGGAAAAAGAGTACAGCACGTATTACTCCCCCTGTTTTGGTCATCCCTGCAAGTCCTTAAGTCTCCGCATTCCAATTTGATGCGTGAGCTTCCTCAATGTCGATGTTGGTAATGCCTTGGTAAAGAGATCGGCTGAGTTGTCGCTGGATCGAACTTGTACCACTCGAACTTCTCCATCCCTTTGCAAGTCATGCGTGAAGAAGAACTTTGTTAGAATGTGCTTCGTCCGATCTCCCTTGATGTAGCCGTCCTTGAGCTGAGCGATACAGGCTGTGTTGTCTCCTCATATGATGGTCTTTGATGTTGTAGTAGCTGCGCCTTGAAGAAGGCTGCCTACGTACCCTTGGAAGGGATCAAGCCACACGTAGTTCCTATCTATTGACCATGCCATAATCTGATTTTACCTGCATCAGCAAAACAAACTAAACCAAAGCAAACTAGACCTTCTTTGGTTAGATCAGTATAGAATAAAACCCAAATAAACAAACATAGGAAGAATAGAATTTAAAATTTAACCAAACCTTCCTTCAAACCTTTCTAGTGCCTTTGGGTTGATCATGAACTAAATTTAGGCAAAGGAGGTTCACGGCAAAACATATGTCTGGTCTAGTGTGGCTAGCCAAGTACATTAACGCTCCTATGGCACTAAGGTATGGCACTTCAGGATCGAGAACTTCTTCCTCATCCTTCTTTGGACCGAATGGATCACTATCCAATCCGAGGCTTCTCACCACCATTGGGCTGCTCAATGGGTGGGCCTGGTCCATATTGAATCTCTTGAGTACTTTTTCAGTATATGCCTTTTGATGCACAAGGATTCCATTATTCACGTACTCAAGTTGCAATCCCAAACAGAATTTTGTCTTGCCTAGGTCTTTCATCTCGAATTCTTTCTTTAGATATTTGACTGTTTGGGCGATTTCCCCAGAGGTTCCAAGGATGTTCAAATCATCCACATATACTGCTATTATCACAAACCCTTCATTTGCAAATTTCTTTATGAAGATACATGGACTGATGGGATCATTCTTATAACCTTCTCTGACTAGGTACTCGCTTAATCTATTGTACCACATGCGTCCACTTTGTTTCAGTCCATAAAGCGATTTGTTAAGCCTTATGCAGTCTTGGTCTCGAGACCCTTTCTTATCTTTATCTTTGAGCTCAATACCCTCTGGTAATCTCATATATATCATCTAGTGGACTTATATAATATGCAGGCA